GGTAAGGTTAGTTTTGTTTACAAACATTAATTATACCATGAAGTTTTCTTTGGCAATTAGTAATGGCAATTATCGCGTGAAGTTTTCTTTTGTAATGTCAATTATAGCGTGAAGGAATGTTAGGTAAGGTTAGTTTTGTTTACAAACATTAATTATACCATGAAGTTTTCTTTGGCAATTAGTAATGGCAATTATAGCGTGAAGGAATGTTAGGTAAGGTTAGTTTTGTTTACAAACATTAATTATACCATGAAGTTTTCTTTGGCAATTATACTGTTTTTAAACCAGGAGGAGTATTTTAAATTTGTCACCAGATTGACCTTGCACGTGATTGGTTGAATGCGAGGAAGGTTCACACACAGGCAATTTTGAATTTTGATTTTGAATTTCAGATTGACCTTGCACGTGATTGGTTGAATGCGAGGAAGGTTCACACACAGGCAATTTTGATTTTGAATGTTAGGTTATTGACAATTCGACAGTTTCGTGTCATAACTTCAATGTTAATTTGTATGTTTAGTGTTGACGATAACAAACGAAAATAAATACAATAATAAGTAAATAAATAAATAATAATAATTATTAATTTAAATTTACCGCCAAAATATCTACTGATATTTTCTGGTGATTTTTCCTAGTGTAAATCTGACTTTCGCGTTTACTCCTCCTGGTTTAAAGACAGAGTATAGTCTGATTATACCGAAAGAGGTAATTACACACCAAACTATCACATGCACAATATGAAAAGGTATTTCGTGGATATTGCGAGGATAATCGTGGGCCCAATAGCAAAAGTTTTGTTTGTTTTGTATATGCACACACTTTCAAATTTATAACTTGGCAGCTTTTTCTTTGAGAAACTACGCTACAATTGATAATAAATTGCATTAACCCTTCCTGAATTCTCTTTAATATATATATATATATATATATATATATATATATACACACCATATTGAGATGAAAGTTGGTTAAAGATTAATTAGTTGACTTATTTAAAAAAAAAGTATATTCTAAGAATGGATAAACTATTTTGAATATAAAAATACAAAATATGAAAATAAAATTAACAAAATAATTAATACATAAAGATTACCACCTCCAATCACGAAGTCTAGATTTTCTTAAAGCTTGTAAAGCTATCTCCGTTTTATTTTGAGCTTCAGTAAAAGCACTAAACCTATTTTTTCGTTCCTTAATGTTCGATTCCACAATAATATCGTGTTGTAATGCGGATTGAACACCTAAAAATTACTCAAATTACTTTAGAAAAATACTAATCGATAACAAACATTGTACCCTTTTTAGAAAACAATTTTCCTAAAACATAATCATCTTGATTATCATTAAAATTATTTTCTTCTTCGGTAAGTTTCCTACTTTCAATTTTAATTAAATTCTCAATTTTTTCACCATCAACTCTTCCACTCACATCAATACAATTTTTTTTATTCTTTCTTTTTAATATGTCAGGTTGTTTGATAATTTTTTTTGTAAATCCTTCGTAAATATCCTGAGCTTTATCCATATCTAATTTTTCTTCTCTCATACGGTGATAAATTGTCGATGTTTTTTCACAAATTTCCAAAGCTTGAGAAAAACTTGCCCCGGTTTTAAAATCATCTAATTTATTAACACTCGAATCAACATTTTCATTTAATTTTTTCCTATTATACTCCATTAATTCTTGAGGTGAGAGTTTTTTCATAAAATTTCTTTCGGCTTCTTTATGTTTCCTTTCCATTTCTTCTTCAAATTCATACGCAAATTTCTTTTTGTTTCTTAAATCATTTTCAGATTTACTTGCAATATTTTTAGCTATTTCTTGAGCTTTGCGTTTCATCTGTTCGATTTTATCTTCGGTAAAAGTAATTTTTTCGGTAATCTTTTTTGTTTTAGTTTCTTTTATTTGTTTTTGCTTTTCCAATTTTTCTTGAACGGAAACACGAGCTTTTTTAAAAATATTTCCAGTTTCTGAATCGTTCGAATTTGGTTCTTGTAATGAAAATAAATCGTGTAGATCGGATGTTGTAAAAAACTTTTGTGATTTTGGATCTAAGAGGACTTTATTGCTTAAAAGTTGTTTCCAAACTTGTCTTTGATATATCTATGAATTTATTAATTATTACTTGTTAAGCGATTTAATTTTTTGATTTTTACCTTTTCTTCGATAGTTCCAGCTGAAATTAACCTATAAATTGTGACTTGTTTGTCTTGTCCGATCCTCCAAGCTCTTTCTCGTGCTTGAGTATCTGTTGCTGGGTTCCAATCGGGATCATAAATAATAACTCGATCAGCTCCGGTTAAATTAACACCTAATCCACCGACTCTTGTGGTTAATAAAAAAACATCGAATGAATTATCTTGGTTAAATTTGTTAATTAATCCTTGTCTTGATGTAACGGAAGTTGATCCATCCATTTTTAAGTAACAATAACCTTCCGAAACTAGGAAACTCTCAAAAATTTTTATCATCGATCTACTTTGAGTGAACAATAAAACTCTATGACTTTGTTTTTTCCACATTTTTAATAAAGCGGAAACAACAATCATTTTACCCGATCGTTTATAATCAATATTTTTTTCGTTTTCTTCCTGATCTGTATCAAGATTCATTTTCGTTTCATCCAATTCATCTAAATAGGTTCTTGGGTGATTACAAACTTTTCTTAACATAGTTATTCCAACTAAAACTTGAGCTCGAGTGTGTTGTTCAGAAAACCAATTTTTATTATTATTATTTTTACCCAAAATAACCTCAACGTGAGAACTCTAAATCAACAAAAAAGAAGTTAAAATTAAAATAATTAAAAATACCACATTTTCCTTACTTTTAAAAATTCTTTATATAATTCTCTTTGTTCGTTACTTAAAGAACAAAATAAAACTTGTTCGCGTTTTTGGGGTAAATGAATATCTTCCTTCAAATCATTTTTACATCTTCTTAACAAATAAGGAGAAATCATATCTTTTAAAGTCGTTGCCATTGCTAAAGCTGTTGTTTCTTGTTCGTAAGTAGCGTTTGTATAACCACCCTGTATTATTGGTGTGACGAAGTGTTCATTGAATACTTGTAAAGAACCCAACATACTCGGACAAATAAAATCGAATAAACTCCAAAGTTCTTGAAGGTTATTTTGCATCGGCGATCCAGTTAAAATTAATTTATGAGGAGTTTGAAATTTTTTAACAGCCAAAGTTATCTATAATTTTGTGTGCTTATTAATGGCAAAAAAGTTTTTTTTGTGTGATTCTACCTTAGCTTGTGAATTTCTTATTTTATGACCTTCATCTAACACGATGTAATGCCAATCGAAATTTACGAGTTCTTTATGTAATTGCAACATTCCAAAATAAGAAGTCACCAAAACTCCTTTTGCTTTAAAAATGTCTTTAATTAATACTGATTTGCTTCCTGTAAATTTAAATTTGTGCATTAAACGTTTTAAAATAACACGTGAACTACCTATAAAACTTCCTGTTGTATGTAAAATGGCTACTCTAATTTCTGGTGCCCAATCATGAAAGTGTTGAACCCATTGATAAATAACCGTGGTTGGACAAACAATTATAACAGGACCTAAACCTGTATATCTAAAAATAAGATTATTTAACATTATTAACCTTTTCGTACACGCGCGGATTATCAGTCGGCGAAATTTAAATTTCTAATTTCGCACTAGCGCATCTTCTGTTGGCTAGCTGTTTTAAAGGACAATGAATACAAACATTCGATACAGGCATACAACAAGCAATAATCACAATTCTAATAAATGTTAATATTTGTGAAATGTTGTCTGAAGACGAATGGCTAACTAAACCCGATCGTTTCTATACAGGTGCCCAGAAATTGCGTTCATATATTTAAAGGTGTGATTCTACATAAAAAATCATAAAGAAAAGTTCATATAAAGGTGTGTCCTAAAATGCTTCCTAAGGGAGGTAGAGCGCTTTGAAGACGACGTTCAATATGAGGTTATTTCTCATTATTTCAAAAACTACTAGGGTTAGAAACACGAAATTTTGCATATCCAGCTATTTTTACGGGGTGAATACGATAATCGAATAAAAAATTAGAAGGAATGTGCAGTTGCGGAAATAAGGGATAGGGGGCACAATTTATGTCCCATATTTTTTTTTGCTTTGAACTTTTCACTATTTTAACCTCAAAATTAGAATCTACGGAAAAAAATACATAAAAAATGTTCTGCTTATAAAATGGTCTACGACCACTCGTTTTCAAGATAAATAATACTAACAATAAGTAAAATACTGCACACAAACATGTGTATTAAATTATCACTAAAAATCTTAGTAGGCTCCTTTCATTTGTTGATCTTTGCTGTCAAACGGTCGATAAAAAATTATTTTAGTGCAACAACCATTATAATTTACGTTTAATTAAATCAAAATGGTTCAATACTCAAACGAAGAGATGGCAAACATTCACTTTACGTACGGTAGAGCTGATGGAAATGCCAGAGAAGCACGATGATTGTACGCAGAACGATATCCAAACCTACAACTTCCCTGTGAACAAACGTTCGCTTCTATTCATAGAAGATTGTGTGAAACTGGGCGCTTTAAGGAAAATCGTTACGACTGTGGAAGATCATGCACTACGAGGACTGTAGAAGTAAAAGAAAGGGTGCTCGATGCAGTAGCTATCAATCCTACGGTAAGCACTAGGAGATTATCGGTACAAGAAAATGTGCCGAAAACCACCGTTTGGGAGGTATTTAAAGATCAGCTACTGCATCCATATCATTTCCAAAAGGTGCAGGCCTTAAAACCCACGACAGCATCCCAAGACTACAGTTCAGTCGTTGGATTATGGAACAATGGCGCCGCCATGACAGAAATTTTCCGGAAAAAGTGTTGTTTACCGATGAAGCTGGATTTACCCGAGATGGCGTCATTAACTTCCATAATATCCATGTTTGGGCCTATGAAAACCCATACAATGTTTTAGCCACGAAACATCAAGAAAGATTTTCTATTAATGTATGGGTTGGTATTATTGGGGATCATTTAATTGGTCCGCATGTACTTGATAACCGTCTCAACGGTACAACTTATCTTAACTTTTTGCAAAATACCTTGTTTGAACTAATGGAAGAAGTGCCGTATCAAACACGAAGGGAAATGTGGTTTATGCATGATGGGGCTTCTCCTCATTTCAGCGTTCAAGTACGGCAATATTTAAATGAAACCTACCGTGAAAGATGGATAGGTCGAGGAGCGCCCGTAGCATGGCCCCCACGTTCGCCAGACTTAAATCCCATAGACTTCTTTTTCTGGGGTTATCTTAAATATTTAGTGTATGCAACACCAGTTAACAATGTCGAAGAGCTAGAACAACGTGTAAGGGACGGTTGCAACACTATTCGAAACAATCAAGGTATTTTTTGGAAAGTAAGACGTTCATTAATTAAACGAGTGAGATGTTGCATTGACATGGATGGTGGAATTTTTGAACAATTCTTATAACTTCTTTTGGTGTTATTTGTTAAAAATTTAAGTGCTTTTTGTTAATGTTTTAAGTTAAACTTTTTATTTTTGTTAAATTGTTAATACGTTTTGTTTAAATTGTTTTTTCAAGGTTTTGGTAAAATTTTAAGTTATTATGAAAAATTAGTAATAATCATCTTTTGAATCATTTTGATAAAATTAACTATGATTGGAAAAAAATTTTGTACACAATATACGAAGTAATTTTTGATCACCCATTTGACAGCTTAAATCAAACCAATGAAAGAAGCCTATTAAGATTTTTAGTAATAGTTTAATACACATGTTTGTGTGCAGTATTTTACTTAGTATTATTTATCTTGAAAACGAGTGGTCGTAGACCATTTTATAAGCAGAACATTTTTTATGTATTTTTTTCCATAGATTCTAATTTTGAGGTTAAAATAGTGAAAAGATCAAAGCAAAAAGAAATATGGGAAATAAATTGCGCCCCCTATCCCTTATTTCCGCAACTGCACATTCCTTCTAATTTTTCATTCGATTATCGTATTCGCCCCGTAAAAATAGCTAGATATGGAAAATTTCGTGTTTCTAACCCTAGTAGTTTTTGAAATAATGAGAAATAACCACATATTGAACGTCTTCTTCAAAGCACTCTACCTCCCTTAGGAAGCATTTTAGGACACACCTTTATATGAACTTTTCTTCATGATTTTTTATGTAGAATCACACCTTTAAATATATGAACGCAATTTCCGGGCACCCTGTATAGATCTAGGTTAGTTCTAGTGATACACAAGTTTTAGTTGTTACTCTGCACCAAGTTATTCTACTTGGACACTTGGAACTTGTTTCTGACGATGGTTGTGGAGCTATCTAGTTTTAGTTCAATATAATACATTAATAATAATAAAAGTAGTAAATCCGTGCATATTTGAGCTTATGATGTAAATGAGTTAAGCTATATGGATTTAATACAAAAAAGTAAATAATAAACTTCGGTTTTTATAGACAATTGCAGACACAGTTCGCGGCATGTGCTGTATAAGTGAGAGTCCGGAAGGTTAAAAAGCCAAAAAAAAACATATTTTACCTGCAATAATTAGAAACGAAACTGTTGTTACTTAATGCTGAAAAAAATGCGATAACCTGAACAGTTTTTCCTAACCCCATCTCATCGCCTAAAAGACCACCATGCGATTGCTTATGAAGTCTCCAAAGCCACTCAACCCCTTTTCTTTGATAACTATATAAATTATCCCATGTTTTCTTTAACATTTTTAAATGTTTACTGATTTTGGTAAATTCTAAACCTTCTTTACAATTTTTTTCTTCTAATTTTTTATAATACTCATTTAAACGATGTTTGTAATAACTTAAGTTCCCATCGTCGATAACCTTATCGACTAAACCAGTTTTTCGTTTTCTTTTAACACATTCAGTTATACCTCTGTTATATTCTTTTTCGGGCAAATCATCATCGGAAGGAATGTAATCACTATCAGAATCTTCGTTTTTTTCTTTTTTAGACTCATTTTCACAGGCTTTTTCGACAGATTCCTTTGTAAATTTACGTTTTTTTCTTTTATGTTCTTTAAAAATAATTTTATTATTACGTTTTTCATCAATCAATGTTTTTTTACGCTCAAATTTTTTCTTAAGATCTTCCTGACTCTTTAAATACTGATTAATGTCTAAAAACCCACCAGAAACCTTTGCAACATTTTCGTTATCTTTGATTTCACCTTCTTCTTCATCCCGATGTTCAATGTCTTGAAAAATTTTCAACTCCTTTAAAGCTTGACCCTCCAAATTTTCATGTTCGTCGCCCCATACTTTGATATTTTCAATTTGTTGTAACCCAACAAGTTCAAACTGGAAATTAATAATGCTAGGTTATGTATGCTTTTAAGTAATTTTTTCTACCTCTACTGGAGTTGACACTGCATTGGAAGTTTGTAACGGAGGTAAATGTTCCATTTTTCAATGAATTATTTAATTAATTTTGTTGTTTTCTTAATGAAATTAAGATTGTATAGTTTTAAAATTTGTCAAGTTGTGAAATTGACAGTTTTATTCAGTTTTGTTAGTGACATCTAGAAAGATATTTTGTAATTTATATGAACATTTAAAATTTTTATTTTCAATCAATATTTTTTATTTTACAGTAAGATTACAAATAAATAACAAGATTTTAAAGATTTTTAATTTAATTTTTTTTTATTTTTAAATTTTTAAAAGTTAGTATCAAATTCATAATTTGATTTAAAAATCTTTTACAATCTGCTTGTTAATTCATGATATTTCCCAGGTTTGCCAGTTATTCGTCTGCTTTTAGCTATCCAAGATTGCTAAAAATCATCAAATAATAAAGTTAGCTTTAATAAATAGTTAGTAAGTTCATACATTATAGTCAACACTAAATCCTTTTAAAACGAAAATTTTTTCAACTTCATCAACAACGAATTCCTGCTCTGTGTCTCTCATATTAATAAAGTTACAATTATTATTTAAATAATGTACAGAAATACATTTTCTAAAACCCTATAAAATAATTATTAGAATTGGTATTAATTTTATAAAGAGATATATTTAAAACTTGAGTTAAATTTGGTCCTGATCCGTGAATTAAAAGTGGATGAAAAAAGATTGTATCACCTTTTTCCATTGGTAATTGAACAGGTTTAAAATGATTGGTATCCATTATTCCATGATAAATACTATTATTTAAAAGCTAAAAATTGGAATTAAAGCATTTAACTTCAATTACTGTTTAGTGTTCATAATTTTTACATTAGGATACCCATGTAACAATAAACTGGATTTATGTGAACCTGGAATAACCATAAGACATCCATTTTCTTCGGTCATTTTTTCAACAGCAGTCCATGAACCGCAAATTTTATTCTCAGGTCGGAAAGGAAAAAAATGTAAATCTTGGTGTAAAGGATGACTGTTTGTCAAAGAATTTGGAGGTTTATTTATAAACATTGAATTAAATCCTGTTATCCCATCACCAATTATGCTTGATACAACGTTAACGATTCTTTTATCTCGAGCGTAATCGAATAAAACCGAATCATATAAAAAATCTTGTATCTAAAATTAATTTTTAAGAAAAAGGATTATAAAGAAAGTTTGGGATGATTATAACTTTGTATAAAAGACGTTCTCCTTTAAAAATCTTCTGTTTCAACAAAGAGTAATCTTTCACGACCGTTATTGCACTTGAATCGACGATTCCATTACAAATATCAATGAATCTTTGTTTGTATTTATCTAAATCTTCGTGATTTATTAAATTTTTGAAATAAATGTAACCATTTTCTTCATAAAAAATTCTTTGGGAGCTTGTTAAAGCTTTGTTGCTAACTGTGTAAATAAACATGCTAAAAATATTGTTTTTAATTTGTAACTACTTTCACGGCCATTATTAATTGATCTAAAACTAGCACTATCACCTATTACCAACGATTTAGAAACGATGTTTCCAGATCGTTGATCACTACAAATGATTCTAGTACTAGGTCTAGTGTTAGTTCTAATGATAGTGCTAATGTTAATTCTAGTTTTAGTTCAATTGTTCAAATTTATTTAAACTTTCTTGTAAATAAAATTAAAACTTACTCAGCCATTTCTTGCTGTTAATTTTATTTTTAATCTTTTTTTAATATACTATTACTTTACTTAAAGACGTTCTCTTTATTAATTAACCATGAAGAATGTAAGAATATATCTTGTTTTTTGTTTATACAAAAAAAATGTTTATGGTTACGAATCTTAAATGAGATTACGTTTATTTAAGCATAATAAAATATAAAAATAATGATTACTTATTAAGTCTTTACAATTTATTTTGTACTTGTTGAAATTTTCCAAATGGTCCATGAATAATCTTACTATTAAATTTAAAAGTATCCTAAAAATAAAAAGTTAATTAAAAAAAAAAATTTTATTAATACTTACATAATATCCATATCCTACCAACTTAAACATCATGGTATCAAGTTGTTTACGAAGTAAATTTTGAGCTGTATCTCCAACATCAATAAAATAACAATCACTGTTTGCGTAATGAACAGATATACTTCTTCGAAACCCCTAAAATCACAACAAAAAATTTTTTTTTTCAAAAATAACTTAAATATTGCGTTACATTTGTAAGATTTGGCCCTGAACCATGCATTAATAACGGATGAAAAAACACCGTATCCCCTTTATCCATCTCTAAATAAACTTTTTCAAGGTGATCAAAGCCAAGAACACCATGAAGATAACGGTTATTCATAGCCTAAAACAATTATATAATTTTTAAAACATTTTTATGTTTATTTTTATTACATTTATTTGTGTATGTGGATATAAATCGAATTTATGCGTTCCAGGAACAACAAAAAGACACCCATTCTCTTTATAAACTTTTTCCAAAGCGGTCCAAGAGGCGCAGATTTTTTCGGCCGGGCGAAATGGAAAGTTATAAAGATCTTGATGCAAAACGTGTTTTGAGCTATCTTCGTGGGCATTCGGAGGTTTATTGAAAACGATTGAAAAAGTAGCTGTGATGTTGTCTCCGATTATACTCTGAATTACTCCGATGATTTTTTTATTTGAGGCGTATTGAGAAAGAATATCATCATATAAAAAATTATGAACTTTATAATAAAGATAAACACCATCGGTTTTTCCTTCTTGTGATAAAGAGTAATCCTCTATTTCCAATAAACCTTTAGGTACAATCACTTTTTTATTGATAATATCCAAGAAACGATCAGTGTAAATATTAATTTCTTCTGAACTAAGCACATTCTTTATTACAATGTAACCGTTATGTTCATAAAATTCTCTTTGGTGATTATTTAAAGCTTTGCTACTTACGGTATATTTAAACTCGCTTAAAACAAAATCATTTATTATTATTTCCTTTTTATAAACTTTATTAATTTTCGATACATACCAAGGAGAAGAATTTAAAATAGAACTTGTAGGATACATAACAAAAGATGTTAAATACGTTAAAATCTAAAAACTAATGTTATTTTTAAATTCAAACTTGACCTATTTAATACTTAACATCGGTTATAGTTTAAGAAGTTACAAAGTTCATTGATTACAAAAAAAGATAGTGGTTTAAATAAACGTTAACATGAGATAAAAATGATTGTATTTGGACAATATTCTAGAAAACCGCTTAACATTGAGAAATGAATGAGAAGGAGAAGAAAAACAATACAATGCGGACATAATGATATAAAACTAATAATGCACTGATTAATTCTTTATTAACTTTAAGTTTTTACATCTAAATAATTTTGTTAATAATTTCTCTGATCACCAAAATTACTTATTTTTTATAATATGGAGTCGATTGAACACGGTGACAAGAGACAAGCGCATCTCCATTATAACCATTTGGACAAGTACACACTGCAATGTGTCTTCTCGGATTACATTCAGCGTTAACCCCGCATTGCCCATGACAAGGATTGACGCAGCTAAAAAAAATTGGTAACTCACCCCAAACTTAAAAGCGCCAGTAACTTACGCATAATCAATACAAGCCCGATGATCACCACATTGCGAATCATCCGTACACTCTCCAGGTGTACAGGATGTCAAAGGATTACCAACGTAACCAACAGGACAGGTACAAACTGGTCTTTCATTGTTTGATCTGTCGTAGCCAGGCGTGCATTTCGCGTTGCTTCCGCAAGGATTAGGTTCGCAAAGGTCCTCTAGAAAAATTGAATTTAATAATGAAATGAAAGTAAATTCAATGGTACGTACCTTTTGTGAATGGTCTGCATCTGACGAATGGATCACCTGTCATATCTTTCGGACATGAACAAATCGGTGTTAAACCTCTTAATTCGCAGTTAGCACCGATTCCGCAAGCGTTGTCACAAGGATTTTTACATGCAGTAATAAAGCAAGCAGGTTTATTTCTCGGACAATCGCTATCTGCATAACATTCAGCTCTGCAGGCTGAGAAAGGATTTCCATGCCAACCCTTAAAAGAATAGCATTAATATAACTATATTAAATAATTTAATAAAACTTTTGACAATTCATAAAAAGAGTAGATTTCTTATCATAATTAATAATGCTAAAAATAAATTTGTATTTATAAGGTGTACGACGTGATATGGCATTGAAAAAGTAGTACACTTACCTCGGGACAAACACAAATGGCTTGATGATTTCGAACGCCTTGACACTGTGCACTTTGTCCGCATTGAGTATAACAAGGATTTTGACACTTGTAATCAATGCAAGCCATTTGTGAACCGCAATCAGAATCTGCGTCGCATTCGTGGCGACATCCAGTTATCGGATCACCTTTATATCCAGGGGAACATTTGCAAGTTGGGGTTTCGTTAATCACTTCACAGTTGGTGTTGACACCGCACGGACTTGGATGACATAATTCAGCTGAAATAAAGCATGTTTATACAAGATATTCGTTTATATAGAACTGTTAATTCATAATTTATAAAATATTTAGGGTTCAATTGTAGGTTATGAAACACATTAAACCGAAAAGAGATTTGAATTTAGATTGTAAACTTTAATTATAAACTCATGGTACGTAAATATTATTATTACCGTACTACTTACCTGGATCGAATCTTCGACAACTCAAAGAAGGGTTGCCAGTATAACCAGATGGACAACTACACACTGGAACATGTAGTCGAACCTCGCAATTTGCATTGATGCCGCAGACTCCATCACATGGATTAACGCATTTATCATTTTTGCACATTTGATGAGGACCACATTCGTAGTCACTTAAACATTCAACTCTTTTACATGATGAAAGAGGGTCTCCTATGTGACTTCTTAAACAGGAACAAACCGGTCTACCATCAACAATAGCACATTGAGCATTTTGTCCACATTTGGCGCACAAATTTCCACTCGGTAAACTGAGGGACGAAATTTGTGGAGATGTTAGCGCTATAAAATATAAGGATTTTTAACCTTTGTTTAATCAGTTTTTAATGTTAATTTATTATTTATTATTAACAAATTTTAAGACAAAATGACCACGACGAAATTTATTGTGCAGATGAAAATGAAATATAGTTTTGAATTTAAAACTAGAACTAACACTAGCACTATCATTAGATAGGTACTAACATTAGACCTAGAACTAAAAACATTGGTTTCAGACGCACGGCTAAACCCGAATGTTTCGAGTTTCTAGGTCTAGTGTTAATCGTACTTTTAGTTCAATAAAACGTTAACTAGTGTTTACTTGTTAAAGGTTTCTGAAAAAGGTTGCCACTTGGTATCCGAAACGTCAAACACTTTTTCAAAAGACGCACGACTTAATCCGAAAATTTCTATTTCTAGGTCTAGTGTTAGTTGTAGTGATAGTGTTAGTTCTAGTTTTAGTTCAATTAACACCGGCCGGTACAGTTGTATGTATTTCAAACCAATCACCAAAATTAATTTAACATTCAAAATATAAATTTAGGTAATATAAACCTGCTCTTTGATAGTACGAATTTTTGTTAACGACGGTAGTTTGTCCATATTTATCCGTTATATAGACATTATCGTCTTGATAGTAACTGGATGGTTTCACGTAATAACTTTTTGATGGCGAAGTAATTCGGTAACCATCATAATAACGGTAGGAAGGGTAATAATAATCACCAGAAAGTATTCTATATTGTCTCGAATAACTCTCACCTCTTGGAAATTGAAATATAACCAGGAATATTAATATTTGGTAAAAGGACCAAAATGGAGACATCTGAAAAAATGTTTATTAATTTAAATGTCTAACACTGCTCTCATACTGTAGTTATGTAAATCTCTAACTTATTACATTATAATTGAAAATTGTAATAGCTTACCTTCAACTCACTTAAGCTCGTTTATACACTTCCACCGCGAACGTTACAAAGAAACTAACAATGATCAGCAGTTGATTGTGTTCTTAAAAGAAATCGATGTTACCTTTTTAGTCACATTCGAACGATTTACGGTGGGCGAAACGACTTTCATAATATTAATTTAAATAAATTGAGCGCCCACAATTATGAATAACACGTAATTTCAGTTTTTATGGAATTGTTTGCTGCCAAATATTTCGATGCATCATAATAATTGAATTATCGTGTTATATTCTTAAGAGTTTTTTGTCGCGTTAAAAGCTAGTTTATTCGAAAATCAAGGTTCAAATTTGAATTGTAGATTACGTAAAATTAACTGTAAGTAAACTAAAATGCATCACCATTGAAAATGAAAGTATATTTTTTTATAATTTTATTTTTGCACAAAACGAGCTTTGCTCAAGTTTGGAGCGACAAGGTTGCTTGAAAACACGTGGTTAATTAATTTAAATTCATATAAACAAGTTAACAAAGAAATCGTATTAATTTTTCTGTATAAATCGAAAACTAAAAAAAAGTATTCGAGGTGTATAATAATATTTATTTTAAAATTTAAATTTATCTACATCATTGCAATTTTTATGGAAATCTGAGCAGTCCTTCTATTTCATACACATTCATTTTTTCACATTCAAAAACAACGTGAAATACGAATAAGCAGAACTTAGAACCTGAAACATAACAAAATATGTTACAAATTTAACTTAATTTTATTTTTTAGTTAACATCGCTACCTTTAGAAATGTGGCCCGTGATAAATCACCTAAATTCATAGCGTTTAAAGTAAGCGGCTTTTGTGATCTGATTAGAATCAGTAAGATATCCTTTTGGATAGAAACGGGGCTGTTATACCAAGGTGTATTATATGCAGCGATTGCCAAACTTGTACTCTGTAAATGTAACGAACGAAACTTTATTTGTATTAGAAACAATTATTTAAAAAGCACCAGTTTTAATTATAAATAATCCCTTCATAAATAAAATAAAGATAACCCTTCATACATCTACAATTTTGATTGATAGTTTAAAGCGCAGTTTACAATTTGTATCTGCTGTATTTATAGTAGCGAAGGATTTTAAAACATTGATTAATTTTCGAGAAAAACATTATTAAAGATAACCTTAATAATCACAAGTTTGTGTTAATTTTTTTAAAACCCCAAACCCTTTCTAAGAAAAACTTCTTTCTCAGTACTCTTTTACAAAACTATTTATAATGTGTAATTATACTATAATATTGTCTTACTTACTTCATCCATTAAATTTTGTCCAAAATGACAAATAGTGAATAACAAAAGTAACCAACCAGATAAATGCATCCCATAACGAACAGACTCAAATAAATCATCTTCCATTAAGATTTCAAACCCTAAAATGCTGATAACCAACGACGTTAATGTTACGTGAACCACAAGTTGACTTCCAAAAGACAAATTAATATTTTCAACGAATCTTAAAGAAATTAAATTGTCATACTAATTAACTAATGTAATATAAAAATTGCACATTACTTGATTATCTCGTGATGATATTCAACACAAAACTTAACCGTTTCGCTAAGTTTACTCGTCTTAACCGTTGATATTAACATGATATAAGAAAACAACTTTTTAAATTGAAGTTCAACGTGTCTTAACAAACCGCAAATCAAAATTGTTGAATTAACAATAACCAAACTGGACATAGCAGCAGTTAAAAATTGATGAATTACATAAATTTCAAACATTGGGCTTTTATCGTATCGATAAGGTAACCTTATTCGAACTATAACACCGCAAGGAATACCAGCTTCCTTCATGTATCGCGGTTTTGTAGCTTCGCAAGTTTCCACGTGAAGAGTTGGGGCAATAACGTAAATTAAAATTCCCGTTATCGTGTAAAAAATGAATATTTTTGAGTAAAAAGAAATTTTCAAATCTATAGCGATAATATCTAAATCGGAGTATTTTGTAAAGAGTTCAATTGATTTTATGATTTCTTTGATGCCTTTTCTATTCGATAAGAAACAAAGTGTCATGTACATACTTCCGGCGACGCAAACACCAGCTAGAACCACCTGAAATATTATCACTATATCCGCTTCTGGTTCTAAAATTATTAAAAGAACAGATTTGAAATTTTCAACAAAAAGCCTTTTTAAATAATTAAAATTAATTTTTCTCAATTTTTCATAAACCATTTACCTACTTACCAGTGAATATAAAAATCAGTTCGATAAATAAAGGTAAAACACTGGGTATTAAAAAAATATAAATAGAATACGTTTTCCAACTACGCCATTTAAGCTCGTCTATTTCCCCATCATTTAACCAAATGTTTAACATTTTTAACACTTTAACCGTGAAACCCATAAATTGATATTTAGACTCATCAACCATTTTTTAATTTTAAGTATGACTTTGATTGAACCTCTATTAAAAACTGGTCGTACTTAAATTTTTCGATTGCTTTTATATCATCACAAACTAATTGTAAATTCCCTTTAAGATATTTAAATTGACGTTATTCGTGTTTCAATGTTAACTGAAGACCTAAAGCATCTAATTGTAAGTTGTAAACTTTGTAGTTGAAAGGAAGCTTTTGAAATTAATTCAATCTGTGGGCGTTTTAACGACGATTGACACGTTTTCGTTTAAGTCTCTTAAATAGAGACTTGACAAGACTTCTGTCTTAGATTGTGTATTAAAAAAGTGAAGTTTTAAATGAAATGACAGGATAATGTATGGTGTGGATCCTCTGGAGGAGGTCTTAAGATGTCTCGTTATTGAGTTAAGTTATTGATTCAGTTCGAAATAAGGGTTGAAATGATATAAAGAGAATTTCAAGCATAAATTTTCTACAGAATTCATTTGTGTACATATTGTAACCTATTTTTGGTTTTCATTATTAATACAATATAATTATCTATGATATTCATAATCATAACTTCAAAATGAGTGAAATAAATTAATACAATGTTGATTTAATTTAGTTTGTTTTAGTGATTTGATTAAAAGGTTGATATTTGAAAATAAATTTTTAATAAAATATGCAACCCAACTAGCATCTATGCCTATTAAGTAATGTGTATTTAATTTTAATAAATTTTGTTCATTTTTTCTACTATTAAAAAGTATAAAAACACATTAATATCCCAAAATGTCGATTAGAATTTACTAATACATCGAATGACTTTAAACGACATAAGGGTGGCGAAATTGAAAGTTCTTATGAAAATTTTGGGTATTAAGTTTTCATATAATAAATTACAAAGAATAAAAATTATTCTTGGTACCTAATATCTCAATGTCTTACAAATATGTTATACCCTTGTTATACTTATCTTCTTGCTGAGGGTATAATTAGAAGTTAAACATCATAATAACAATGAGTATTCTTTAAGTACATCGGTTGATAATAACCCTTAATTTACAAAATTAATTCAATATTTAATTTAATAATTTTTATCAGCAATGTCAAAATACTTATTGTTAGTTCCAAGACTTATTGTTAGTTCTATTTGTCGAATCTTAAGCACACAAACCTTAATTATTTTCTGAAGTTAGCCAAGTTAACTTTAATGAAATTTTAAGAGAATTCATTTAATAAAATTATGTGCTCTAAATAACAAATCAATTGCATTTTAAAATTCGCTTAAGAAAAATTATATAAACAAATTTTTATTAAAAAACGAAATAAATTTTATTATCGCTTCTCTTTCGATGCATTTACAAGATTAAAAAGATCAAAGATATTACACGTCATTGGAATTAAACTTGAACTGTCATTCGAATAAAACGAGCGTACTTTTTATAGGTTATCTGAGTTCATTGTAAACGAGTCCATTACGGTGATATCACCACAAACGGTGAAACAAATCGAGTAAAAATGGGTTTTTTCACTAAATTAATGCGTTTCGTTACCCTACGCGTAGCTGAAGGTATTGTGATCATTTTGTTAATTGCTTTCATGCCAAATTTACCGCCGTATTGTAAAATATCAAATTCACGAACGTAAGTTAAAATCTTGTAAATTCTCCACGTAATATTAACCTTTACTGTACTATTCTTTTAGGATAACACCTTCCATGCCGTTAGAAGGGAAATTAGCCTTAAATAATAAATTAGACAATGTTGAAATTTGGCATAAAGGACAACTGAATGGTCCTGAGGGTTTCGCCGATTACGATGGGGAATTATACACTTCATTGCAAAGTGGAGAAATCGTTAAATTAATAGGGGAACATATAATACCAATTGTTCAATTTGGAAAACCTTGTAAAGGACCTTATCAAGAAAAGATCTGTGGAAGACCTTTGGGGATTGCTTTTGATAAAGATGGGTTTTTGATTGCCGTCGATGCTTATTATGGTATTTTTAAGGTTAATGTAAAAACAGGTAATTATTTCATAGGATGATAATCCAAAATGTTTTTATGTTGAAAAAGAGTAATCAAAATGGTAAATTAGTTAATTACATTAATTGACATGTTTATATACTTTTATTTAGTGCCAACTTTAACCTTGAAATACACTATTTGTCTTATCTCAACATACTTTATGTTCAAAATTGGATTATTTTTTTATAGGAGATACAACTCAATTAATCTCTGTTGATCAAGAAATTGCTGGCAAAAAACCAAAACTACCAAACAGTATTGCTTTAGCTACCAACGGAGACATTTTTTGGAGTGACTCAAGTACTGAATTTTTACTCCAAGATGGAGCAATAGACTCTTTTGCTGATGGAAGTGGAAGGTTAAAGAAACACTTTAAAATAAAATTAAAATAATTCTTACTTTTTTTCTTATTCAAGATTAATTCATTACAACGCAAAAACGAAAGAAAACACCGTTTTAATTGATAATCTTCTCTTTGCTAATGGTGTAGCATTGTCTGAAGATGAAGATTTCGTTTTAGTTGTTGAAACTGGAGCCAGCGCAATACATAGGTATTACTTGAAAGGTCCTAAAAAGGGAAGTAGTGATCTGTTTATTGATGGTTTACCTGGGTTGCCAGATAATTTAAAATCTGATGGAAAGGGTGGATTTTTCGCCCCATTAGTCGCAAGTCGCGATTCTGAAAACCCAATTCCTACACAGTTTTTAGCGCCGTGGCCATTAATTCGAAAATTTATCTCTAGAATTTTCGGTTTAACCGAATTTGGATTTAACTTGATTCAAAAAATTTATCCAAATGAATATGCAGAAAAAGCTATTCACTTTGTAAGTACTTAAAATTACCTTGAATAACATTGATTTCAACAATAAAAATATTTTAGGTTGGTCATTTTTCATCATTATCACTTTTATTGCCAAAGCGTGTAACTATTCTACATTTATCAAAAAATGCGGAAATAATTCAAAGTTGGCATACAACGAATAAAAAAATCTCTGCGATTTGCGAAATGCACATTTTTAAAGGTCAAGTTTATCTAGGTACGCCTTTTAATGATTACATCGGAAGAATTTCCGCTGATAAATTGGGATTGGAAGGTTACGGACTAAAAAAAGAACCGGTCAAGGTTACTCCTCAGCCACCTAAAACAGAAACGATCACGAGTACAACACCAAAACCGACCACTACAACCGAGAAGCCGACAACAACGACTCCAAAACCGTCCATACCGCAAAATATAAAAGAAGAAAACGTACAAAAATCAAATAAAAATACCCAAAAACCAACTGATAATAATCAGAAACCAATAAAAACTGGAAAAGTAAAGGAAAACATTCAAAAACCAACTGAAACAATGAAAAAACCAAAACCTACAACCACAGAAAAACCAACTGTTACGCCACAAAAGCCAACGAAACAAAAGAACGATGTTCCCATTAAAGAAGTAAAAAAAGACATTAAAGAAGAAGTAAAAAAAACCGTTAAAGAAGACATAAAAAGTACTGAGAATAAGAAAGATGTTCCAAAAACACAAGAAACACCAAACGATCGTAAACAAGAAAATGTAGAGAAAACTAAAACAAAGAATGAAAAGGAAACTGTACAAAAAATGGGTGATGGAGTAAAAGACAAGGTAAAAGTGAGTGAAACTAAGACCAAAGACACCAAAAAACGTATTGAGTTGTAATTTTGAAGATATATTTGGTTCTTTTGTTTAACTATTTCTATTTTTTTAATATGTTAATTTGATTTTTGGTGATACTGCTATCTTTTAATATAAATTTCTTATTATAATCTGCTTGGAAGAATCAAAAATAATACTTTCTAAAAATACTTTAAATGAATTCGAAAACGTTAATTCGCGAACATATGGCAGCTACAAATATCATAATAACAATCACTTTCACATTCCATATTTCATCATCTGTGATTTTGTTCGTTTTTATATGATTAGTACATTGTTTTTTTTTTATTTCGTTTTCTTTGATATTTTCATCAACGTGTTTTTATGGTTGAGAAACAATTCTTTGGAACAAAATTATCTGAAACTTCCTGAACTTAAACGCACATTTTTGGCAATAATCAGTAAAGTTAATGCTGGAGAAGTTTTTTAAAAACTTTTTTTGACCTTGTTTACCTTGAGATTATTTAATTCGAAGCTACACTGAATAGATTTGAAACTTAGTACTAAATTTTTGTATATTTAAGCGTTTAAATTGTGGTAGTTAATCGCTACAGGTTATTTTCAAAGGCATTTATGTTCTATTTTTTAAGTAGTTCTTTGTTTAATAATTTGTTTTTGTTCATTGTTGTACTGAAAGTTAATTAATAAAGAGTTCCTTAAAAAATTAAATATATATTTTTTTCTATGTGTTTATTAAATTTTCTTAGAATAAAATGAGGTATGGAAGTTATGTGGTAAGGTGAGATTGTCTTCATCAATGCATTAATTGAAGAGTTCAGATTTCTTACACATGTTAAACCAGTCTGATTAAATTTATGTGTAATAAAATTCACTTTTTTCTTTCAATATACAAAATTTATTATCAATATCATTTGCTTAACAAACATAAAAGTAACGAACCTATGCTTTTTCGATACTTTTAATTAAACTCATTCCTCTGTTGTAAATATCTTCTATAATCGCTTCTCTATTTAACACCAATTTGTCACCAACTTTTTTCTTACAATTTACATTGCTGATCTAGAAAAAAATAAATTAAAAGATAAGGCGTGCAAAAAAATTTTTGACCCAACCTTAAATTCTTTTGGTTCTAATTCGCTTTTAATCCATAAAACTCCAATAGTTTCTCCACCATATGAATCATGGAAGAATAATGCGTATTTTCCATAAATTACCTTTAAAAATCGGTTTATAACAAGGACATTAAAAAAATGTAATTCTAGAAAAAACTTACCCTTAACTCTTTCAAAAACTTGTGAATTGGATTAAAATCGATAATTGGAAAGAATTTAGAAACATTTCTATCATAATTTTCTATATCAACAGATTTATTAACATTTTTGAACGGTATTTGTTGATATTTTAGCGGATTTAAATGAGATACCAGATTAATTATTAAATCGTAGCCTTCCAAACTTGGTTGAAACAAATTCTTAAAAAGTATAAGGAACAATTAAATACTGAATGGGTAAATTAATAGCATTAATTGTTACTTTTATTTCAAATTTTTTCCATTTAATTGAAATGTCATTTAAGTAGGTGTAAGCAGCTTCCGCTAAAATTGAAATCCTCCTTAAAATTTCTTCACTAGGCCCTCTTTTCGAAAAAATAGACTTTCCATTGTCATATGGAGTTACAATGTACAAAAACGGTAAAGACGAACGATTATTTATAAAATTACTTTCAATTTCATCCAAACGTGATTCTAGAAAAAAAGTTAATTTTTTATTTATTAAACCTAACCCAACGGCCGCGTGCATTAAGTAATATAATGCACTAAGTAATATATGTATTCATAAAAATAAAACAACTTACTTTCAATATCCTCATTAAAATTAACAAGAATAAAATCGGTTTTTGGGTCGAAACTAGCAACATGCTTTAAAAATCGAATGAATCCAATTTGAGGTAAATTAAACTTATTGAAAGAGTTTTGATTTATGTATAAAGAAGCATTCCATAAATCGATTATTATATCGGACATGTGATCATCATCAATCATTTGGGATCTTAACCAACGTTTAATCAACATTGAACAAGAACCAAAACTCGGATTTTCCTGATGAATTCTACAGAAATTAGAAAAAACATTTAAATTAATTTTTAAATTCCAACAATTACTTACCCATTTAATGCGCTTATTATTTTTGGTAAAATTTGTGAATTTTTTTCTAATTCAAAACATTCTTCGGTTTCTTGATAGACAACCGCCCCCTCGGAGTTTATTGACTTCTTCAATAAAATTAATTCTTTTTCAATGAAAAGTTTAAATCGGAAAACTAAACCTTCATAAAAGACTTGTAAACAATCAAAATTGGGTTGAGTTATGATTTTGTCCTTGAGCTCTTCGTTTAATAATGAAGAAATTTTTAAATAAAATTCACATTTAATAGCTCGAAGTGCTTCAATTTCGTTCGGCCAAGCTGAAGATCTTGATAATTTTATAACACATTCAATTGGGTAAACGTATTTAGGAACGGCTTTAAGTTCTTTTACATTATTAAATATTACATTTTGATCTAAATGTGTTGTAATTTTTTCGTCGCATTGATAATTAGTTGAAATGGGAGGAAATAAATGTGTGTAACAAAATACAGGGGAAACTCCTTGAATACTATTTATGGTTAATTCCAATTTTAAATTTCTCATTTTTTCAGATAAATCATCAAAAATATGTTTTACTTTTAAGCAGGCTTCTTCGTTAGTTCCAGATGGAAAAGATGGTTTTCTAAATGTATCTGCTACAAACTCTTCAAATTGATTCCCAATCAATTCGATATTTAAACCGTATTTCTCTTCTAATACATAATTTATAATGGTAGCATAAATATTTCTACGATCTTGAATTGTTTTTCTTGGAAAAACAGCAACTTCTGCGGCCGTGGAATCTTGAAATCTTCTGAAATCAGAGAATTTACCCCAAAATTCTTTAAATTCTTTGACTTCAATCGGATTTTCTTCAGAAGGGCCCTTTTCTATGGTATTAAAAGCTTTCTCTGGATTTAAAATGATCCCAATTAAAATCATTTGTAATTTATTATTAAAATCGTAAAATATTTTTGGGGTTATGTAAAAAACACGATGATTTAAAGCTTTTTTTAAAAGATCTTTAATCTTTTTTGTGATCAAATAATCATAAAAGCCATAATATTTCCACTTTTCCGGAGCATTCGTATTTTTAAAAATTACATCCAAGTTAAAATTATTAATTTTTACAACTGCATCAAATTGGAGAAGGAACGAAATTTTAGTGTTAAACAAATAACTAAATGAATTAAAATTATTGCTATCTAAAATTTCAAGGGCTCTTTTAGCTTCGTTTCGTATCGTTTGGTAATTATCGAGATCAAGAAATGATGTTAAGTTAAAAAAGCCGGTTTTATCAAGAAAAACAACATCGTAATTATTTTTAAATAAGTTCAAATTTTCAGAAAAATTTTCCAGCAAATCGTTTCTTATATATATTGGTTCTTTACTCCAATCAGAATTTATCAAAAAATACCAAAATATCCTAACAATTTGATAAGAACTCATGTTTTCATTAATTTTCTTCTTTTCGATTAAATACCCCACAAGAAATAATACTATTTCATAATTAAATCCATTAAAACAATCATTTAATTCTCTTAAATTTAACCAAATCAAAGCCAATTTAAGTCCATCTTGAACATTTTTAGAATTAATTTTCGATTCTAACCAATCGTAATTTTCATTTAGCGTCAAATCTCTTGCTAAAATTGAATTGTAAAAAAGTGTAGCAACATTTTCGTAATCTTTAACATTCACAGACACAAAATTTTTATCAAAATCGATTTTCATGTTGTTCATATCAGGCATAACTCTTCTTAACTTAAAAGTATTTGCTTCGGCCGTTAAAAAAACGTTAATTTTGATGTTGTTTAAATGTTTTATACAAATGTACGGAGAATATTTTAACTTTTTATAATAATTGATGCAAAAATCATATTTATTCCAATTCTCAACTTTTTTGAAGCCGGCAAAAAGATATTGAATATAAAAATCTCTTTTCACTAAATAACGATTATTCAAATAATCTTTTTCTTGGAAAAACTTTGTGGGAATGCTGATATTTATATTCACATTAAATTCATCTTTTTTATTTGTAATACATTCAAGCTTATACAACCCAAATAATTTGTACTTTTCTGGTTTAATAAATTCAATATCGTTTAAATTGAACTCTTTATCACATTTTATATCGAGTGAATCAATCTTAAATATCCTTTTATGATCAACTAAATCGTTGAAATTTTCCATAACTTCTTTAAATTCGTTCCAAAAGTCCTCAACTTTATTAATGTACCTTTTTGAAACGTTAATCTTCCCCAATAATTCCTCAATTTGTAATCTCATTAAACTCGAGGAATATAAATTTTCAGTTTCTTTTAATTGATTCAATTCATCCGTTGTTGGTTGTTTATACAAATCTTTTCGAGCTTTTTTATTCATTTTACCTTCATTTTCGGACACTTTTCTTTTAGAGTCAACCTTTTCTTTATTCTTATTTTCAGTAGAACTATCACTTTCATTTTCAGGTTCTTCATAATTTTCCAAATCGCGAAAAATCATTCTTCAAGATAATTGATTATACGTAGGATACGTAGCTTTGAAAAACTTACTAAGGTTAAATATTTTGTACATAACCTTAAAAAATCACGTGTGCTTATGCCATTTTAAACTTTTTAAATGTCATAACAGAAAATTTGTTTCGATTGATTGTAGCCAAGGTCTGTAAACCGCTTTGTACAATACGCTTTACGGACCTTGATTGTAGCATGTTTTAGAAAATTGATGTTTTGTTAATTTATTTTATTTTTCATTTTCACGAGTTTAAATCCATTATTCATATTAAAGGAAAAATAATAAACAAAATTATTTTAAACCATAAAATTTATCGTTGTAATTTAAAAAACATATTTCAAGTACTAAACGTGTATTATTTTGTAATTCAGTGTACCAAGTTAATATTTTTTTATATTTAAAACTGAAAACACTTTTTTTCCGATAAAATGACGGTTATTTTTCAAATGAAATATCCCGCCAACACAAAATTTAATTATCCAATCACAGCATATCTTTTTGTTTGACATTTGACATTACGAGTTTAAAACTGGTCGTTCTGTTCGGAGCTATCAAATGATGTGAAGTTTTGAAACTTTTAAAAGCGGTTTGTGATTCCTTTTAATCATACCGATGATGTTTTTAAACGATGTACACAAAAAGGACGAGATTAAAAATCTTGCTGTGCAAGATTTACGTGGTTTGGGGATAAAATTTCGCGTAAAAAAACCATCTCGACAGAATATACAGGTTTGTTATTTTATCCATTTCAATATTTAAAAGCTATTGTTTTCTTTTTGATTTGTTCTGTTTTGTAGAAAACGAAGTCAAGAAAAGTGTTCAAAGTGCCTTTACAAACGCTACCGATGAAGACAGTTACTTTGGTTAGCGGCCAGCAATTGGTGGTACCAAAAATTTTAGATGAAATGTGTTCCTTTTTATTGACAAAAGTTAAGACTGAGGGTTTATTTAGGAAAGGGGGTTCAAAATCACGACAAAACGAAATAAAGGTATTGCCAGAATTTGACTTAATTACATTAAACTTTATTTTAGCTCTACCTATTTCTAATTTTATTTTAATTTTTGTTACAGTTATCATTAGATGCTGGATGTTATTTAAGTGACGATCATCATGAAATTGACGTAGCGAGTGTTCTAAAAACTTTCTTTCGTGAACTACCCGATCCTTTAATTCCTATTACATTTCAAGACACATTATTACATTGCATTATTTTATCTCAATCTAACTTACGTGCCATACTTTTAGTTTGTCTTTTATTACCTTCCGAACATCTTAACATTCTAGCTTATCTTATGCAGGTAATTCAAAAGAAATTTAATAAGAAATTAATTAAATAAATTAATACTTTTGCTTAATTTATTTTTGTTTTAGTTTTTATATCAAATAACCGAATTTTCAAACTATAACAAAATGGACGCTTATAATTTAGCCGTTGTTATTGGCCCCACATTACTTCCTGTTGAAGAAAAAGTTGCACCAAGTGCTACTCATCGCATAAATAAGTTTTGTGAAGTTTTAAAGGTATTTTTAATTTATTGTAATCATTTTTGATTAAAAAGAATGCTTGTTTAGTTGCTAATTGAAAATGCAAATCAAATTGGTTTTGTTCCTGAAGATATAATTGAAAGGATTGCATTATCTTGTTCATCCGCGTCTTTAACAGATGAAGATGGTGCAATTGTAGCATTGAAGAAAAAGAAGAAAAGAAGAAGTGGATCGTTAACAAGAATGTTGAATGGTTTAAAGAAGATTGTGACAAGTAAGTCGGGAGAAGGTGGAGGTAGCCAAGAAGGAAATGGTAGTCGAGAGGTTGTAGCAACTCCAGATTTATTAGTGACACCGTTATTGACTCGATCCGCAAAAAAGAGGAAGTTTGATGGAGCTGGTTTCTCTATGCGAAAAAAGTATGTTAATTATATGAAATAATAACAGTTGTAACGTCGTAATTATTTATTATTTTTTTAGGAAGGACTTGATTACGAAACTTCCGCAAAGTTCAACTTTAGCAACACCATTTAATCCAAAGTAAGTGATTAATATTTTCTAAACACACACAACTAATCCAAACATTATTTTTTATAAAAACCAGAACAAAAGAAAAGGACAAAAAATGGTTATTGAAATCCAAAAGTAAATCGATCAAAACAAACGAGGAATCTGCATCAATATCATCACGTTTAAGTGCTTTAGGAACAAAAACGATGTTAGAAAGGCGTTGGTCCCAATTAAGTCATGTAGCCGATTTCAGGAAAAATAAAAAACGAAATTCATATGGTGGATCTTCACAATCAAATTCCGATATCTCCAAAGAAATTGTTCAATCGACAAATCTAGATCATCTCAATGAAATTAAAGAAATCGCTAATTTACGGGAAGAATCAGATTATGTAAAAATTCCAAGGATGGAATACGAAGAGATAAAAAGTAGAGTATCAGAAATTGAAAGAAGGATATCAATTGAATTAGAAAGTAATGATAAATTTCCTGAAGAAATGATTACTAAAAATATTGACAATATTGATACAGTTAAAAATGTTCAGTGCGTTTACGAGCACACCTTGGAACAATTACAACCAATGAGTCCAACTGCAGATCAATTAGCTAAAAGATTAAGTAGAGAATTAAAAATACGGAGATCAACCGAACAAAAAGTTATTAGATCGCCCAGCGCAAGAAAAATTGGTACATTAAGGCGAAGATCTCGAGATTCCGATCGACAAAAATTGATTAGAAACAAAACTTGGCACATTTCAAGCACTCACAACAGTCCGATAAGTAACACAAATCAATTAAATCATCCAATCATCCAAAAAGAAATTCAATTACCTATAACTCCAGTTTTAAGCAATCCGCTAACACCAAAATCCTTAGATTCGAATCGTTACTCATTAAGATCGTTATCTTTTAATGGAAATTCATCACCGTCTATAACAAAACCTAAAAAGCGTTTAAGCGATAATTGGAAATCAAGTAAAGAATTTTTTGAAAACTCACAACAGTCTAGTTTATCATCTTCATCAAATTTTGATGCAAGTGAAAGGTGCCGGGCTTCTTTGATTCGTTTAAGAAATCAAAATGCGGGGATGGTTTTGGCTAAAGCTCGCCTGTTTGACGATCTCGTTGATACTGATTTATCGAATCCTAATATAAATAATTCCAATCCAATCCCAAATTCTGTGAAATGTACCCCCAATTTAATTCCAAGAGTGCAAACAAATAAATTGGGTGCGATTAGACAGGTGGATCGGCAATCGAATAGAATTAGAGCTTTAAAAGCCGAAGAAAATACAAGAAGGCTAAAGAAAAATACAATTAGTCCGAGAAAACGGATGACAAAAAGTCCAAAAAGGCTTCAACGTTTAAGAAACGATCAAGTTGCAGTGGTGATCGATGAAGGTAAAGTGGTAAATAAGGAAAACGACTTAAAGGACGGTTGTGTTTTAGGGGTTTATGGAAAAACGAGGGGGTCTCCATTAAGGGATATGAATTTTAGGGATGTTAAGGATTCGAGTTTAACTCCGAGAGCTGCAGTACCGCATATTAAGAGACCATTTAATGTTAAATCACCAAAAAGACTGAATAGGGGGATGTTATTACAACCAGAGAAAAACACACCTTTAAAAGTTATAGCTACGATTCGTGAAAAATACTAAATAAAACAAAAATTGAACAAAATTGCTCAAACATTAATAACTATATTTAGTATGGAAGTTTTTTATTATTAATGATTTTTGTTACTTATTATAATTTGTGTTCATAATTTTGATTATTTTCTTATTATTATTTTTTCAACTATTTTATTATAAGGATTTTTTTATTATTCCAATTTGTTTCTTGAGATATGTAGATATATATTTTTTGATAATAAATGAATTTTGAATGGGGAGCTTTAGATTTTTTGTTTGATGTGCCTAATATAAAACCTTAAACCCTAAAACAATAGCATTTAGGTAGAATAAGTTAAAATAATAGTTCATGTATTATTGATTTATTTAGCGTATGGCATCAAGATACAACGAAATCGGAAATCACAATCAGAATACAAAATACATATAAGACAAAATATAATATGAAATCAATATCATTATACAATTGATAAATGTATACAGAGATATTGATTCCGGAGTCGCCAACAAGAAATCTTCAGGAAGTCCATCATAGAATCAAATTCTTATTAAAATCAAATTTGGCAAATTCTTATTAAAAGATCTTTTAATTACGTATTTATAAGAATCTAAATCTGGCGCTTTATAAACTTCAACCAATCATAAGTAACCACGACTGTTAATTGAAGCGATCCACTACTAGATGGACACACCAATCGTGCTGATTTGACGTTTCTTTGACAGATATGGTGGAGAAGTTGACAAAACACGTATCTTGAAACAAAACGACTCATCAAATTTAGTGGCGACGTTTTTACTAGTAATTTTCGCGGTGTAATGTTAACGTAAAAACCAAGCAAAAAATCAAAATGAGACTGATCGGGATTTCGTTGTTTAGCATCGCACTTACTGCCTCTGTGATTGCGAACGCCTATTATCAAAAGAAACAGTTTTACCCTTCGGTTGTGTATATTACCAAATCTAATCCTAGTATGGCTGTAAGTTATTCAAATTTTCAATAATTATTCAATAAATTAAGTTATTTAATTTCCATATTATCTACAATTTCTTTCTTTATAGGTTATGTACTGTCAAGCTTTTATTTTGGTGTTTTTAATGGGCAAATTAATGAGAAGAATTTTCTTTGGGGAATTGAGAACATCAGAATTTGAAGTAAAATGAAATAAAATAATACGCTTTAAAGATATCTTTATTTTTGATTTTAGCATTTAATGGAAAGGTCTTGGTATGCAATAACAGAAACCTGTTTGGCATTTACTGTGTTTCGTGACGATTTTAATCCAAAATTTGTTGCTTTATTTACTCTATTATTGTTTTTAAAATCATTCCATTGGTTAGCAGAAGATCGAGTGGATTATGTACGATTATTTAAAACCAATCTGAAAATGTCTTAATAACTGTGAATAATTCTTTTTAGATGGAACGTAGTCCTATAATCGGTTTGCTTTTCCACATACGTGTTTTATCGTTACTATTTGTTTTGGGAGCCTTAGATTTTTATTTTATTGAACATGCTTATTACTCAACAGTAACAAAAGGAGCATCTGTTCAATTGGTTTTTGGTTTTGAGTATGCCATATTAATGACAATGGCTTTAAATGTTGCCATTAAATATGCACTATATTCCGTTGATTTAAATAGCGAAACCCCATGGGAAAACAAGGCAGTTTTCCTTTTATACACCGAACTGGTTATGGGTTTTATAAAAGTTATTTTATACTTAGCTTTTGTAATAATCATGGTTCGCGTTTATACTTTACCATTATTTGCGTTCAGACCAATGTATTACACAATAAGAAACTTTAAAAAGGCTTTTAATGATGTCCGATTATCAAGAAGGGCTATTCACAATATGAACACTCTTTATCCAGACGCTACCCAAGAAGAATTATCTGCTGGCGATAACGTTTGTATAATTTGTAGAGAAGAAATGACCACTGGATGTAAAAAATTACCATGCAATCATATTTTTCACACTGCCTGCCTTCGTTCATGGTTCCAAAGACAACAAACATGTCCTACTTGCCGTTTAAATATCTTAGGGGCCTCTGCAAACGCTGATAGACAAAGGCAAGGTCAAAATGTACAACAGAATCAACAAAACTTACAACAAAACGGTTTGCCTGGCGGATTAAATGGTTTCGCTTTTGGAGCAAATGGATTTTTGGCTCCAAATGTTTTCAATGTTTTTGCAAATGTTAGAAATCCACAACAACAACAACAAGGAAATCAAGGAGCGCAGAACAATAATTTGCCAAATAACGGAAATAATAACAACAATCAAGTTCCCACGAATACCCCGCCAACACCTGGGCCACCACCCCCATTTCAAATGCCACCTTTTCCATTTATGAACCCATTCATGACTCCTCCACCAATTCCACCCCAAAATTTGGCTTCATTAACTAGGGAACAACTGCAACAACTAGAAGGGAATGAAAGGGCTAATGTTGAAGCTAGGATACAGTGGCTTAGGAATATCAACGTAAGCTTTAATTAATTTCTTTTAATAATTATTAAGGTTTCTCTGGTATAGGTTATGTTAGATGCAGCAGTAATAATGCTTCAACAATACAGCGCAGCTGCAGCTGTCTCAATGGCAGTTCCAAATGTAACCACAACAACAGAACCTACAACTACTTCTGCAAGTTCGAATAGCACGATTCCACAGCAGCCAACAGCATCAACATCGTCTGAAGGTGAAAATGCTGCTTCTTCTATAGTAGATTCAACGGCGACTGCAGCAGGTGACAGCAACATTAGTAAAAGCGATCCTATTCCCGGATCATCAACAAGTGATGCGGCGACAGCAGCAGAAGAAGAAATACGCAGGAAAAGGCTGCAAAAATTCGAACAGCAAACGAGTCAGGACTAAAAGATGAACGAAAATACGACAAAACATTCAAAAATGAAAAATTTTTGACTGAACGGCCACTTTTTGGAAAATTAATTTATGGTTTTACATTAAACCTTAAAGTTTTGTTATAGATTTGTGTATAATTAATATATATTTTTTGAAAAAGTGTTTTGATTTTAAAGCTACACTAAACATTTAGGGTGAAAAGTGGTGAAGGATCTATTGTTTTTGATAACTTAAAACCATCTGTTAGTGGCTATGTTAAAATGAAAAAAATAAAGAGGAAAGGAAACTTAAAATCTTAAACACTAAAAGGCTGTTGTTTAGTTTATATATAAAATATAAATGTATATTAATAAAATGAACAAGAAAAGAATTTATGGCTTGTTTTTATTTTAAATTACATTTGAATGTAACATAAACAACTTTGAATTATTTTCCTGTCAATTCGAACTTTGATCCAAACAAACCCAACCCAAATCACCCTAAATGAGGAAGATGCATTGTTTTTGTTTATAACATACACGTCTACATTCATACTTATTCACCATCTTTAGAGGTCAACTGGCAGCTTTTACAATGAAATCTGCAAATAATGTATTCCAATCATCACCAGGAAGAACTAGAAACTTACGGATTAAGCTGTATAACTTCTAGTGATAAGGCTAGCGTTAGTTCAAGTTTTAGTGGTTATTCATTGCTAGGTTGTTACATATTTTTATTGAAATAAAACCAGAATTAACACTAGAAATATTCAGTTTAGCCGTGCGTCTCAAGACGGCTAATTGTAATAATATGTTAAAGATGCTTTTCTATACTTTTATTATAAATACATTGCTTTTATAACCGGTCACATATGTAACTGCCTAATATAACTATCAAAAAATTCTCTTAAAAAAAAATAGGTTGCATTAACAATGCATCAAAATTCCTAACAACTTTATTTCCCGCTTTTTATCGTTTGAATATCACAGAATAAGGAACATGAAGTAGGTGATAAACACTAAAATGTCAATTTATCTGCAATAAAACAGTTGTCTGTAATATAACCATTATAAATACGTCAAAAATGAGCTGGCGTTTAGGTTAAGTTTTTAAAACCACTGATTTTTCAGATAATCGTACGCATTAAGCGATTTAATTAAACGATGTGGTCGTTCTTTTCGAGAGACCCGTCGAAAGATTTCAACTTTGAAATCGGCGAACAGGTCGACGGGATCCAAGAAAAGAGTGTTTGGACATTGCATAAGGGTAAAAAGAAGGTTTGTGAAATTACTATATACTTTATTTAATTAATTGTAACGATAATTATTTGTTTTAAGGGTACTTCCGAAGAAGTTTCTGTATTTGTTTTTGATATTAAAAATAGTTCAGAAGTGTCACTTGATATTGCCAAAGCAGCAGTGAAGAGATTAAAAACATTGCGCCATCCTAGTGTGTTAACTTACTTAGATAGTTTCGAGTCTGATAAGGTCTTGTATCTTGCTGCTGAATATGTTGAACCTTTGTCATATCATATAGAAAAATTGTCTTTGGATGGAGCTCAGAAAGAACTTTATATTGCTTGGGGAATTTTCCAAATAACTGTAAGTGAATGTTTTTGTGGTGATTTTATTTAATTGATTGGTGTTGTTTTAGAGAGCTTTATCTTTTTTAAATAATGATGGTAGTTTAAGACATAATAACGTTAATATTTGGTCAGTTTTTGTTAATGGTTCGGGAGAATGGAAATTGGGGGGTGTTGAATACGTTAGTAGTACTCAAGATAATAATATGATACCTATTAAGATACTACCTTCTTTGGAGATATATGATCCGCCTGAGAAAAATGATCCAACAAAATCAAGGCAAATGACTAAGTGTTCTAGTGATATGTGGGGTTTAGGTTGTTTAATATGGGAAGTGTTTAATGGTCCTTTATATCAACAATCAACTCTTAAAATGTTAGATAAAGTAAAGTATATTTCAAATTAAGTAAAGTAACCATCTTAATAAACTCAATTCATAGATACCTAAACAATTAGGGCCACTATATTGTGAATTAGTAGGTGCTAATCCATCTTCTAGACCAAATCCAGCCGATATAATCACAAGGTGTCGCAAAATGAACGGTTATTTCAAAAATGACTTAGTAGACACTTTACTATTTCTGGAAGAAATTCAAATTAAAGATAAAAATGAGAAAAATCGTTTTTTCTCCAACTTAACACCACATTTAGATAACTTTCCCGATAGCGTTTGTAAACACAAAATACTTCCTCAATTAATAACAGCTTTCGAATATGGAGATGCTGGTTCTGCTGTTTTAGCTCCAATGTTTAAACTGGGGCGTCTGCTTGACGAAAATGAGTATCAAAAGAAAATTGTACCATGTGTTGTTAAATTATTTGGAAGCAACGATCGTGCCACGCGATCAAGATTACTTCAACAATTGGAATTTTTTATTGGCCATCTTCAAGCTAGCACTGTCAATGATCAGATATTCCCGCAAGTTGCTCACGGGTTTATGGATACAAATCCCACGATCCGTGAACAGACTGTTAAAGTATGTTTATGAAATTTAACAAAGAGGTGTATTTCAAAATTAACTAATTTCTTTTAGTCTGTGATACATTTAGCACCTAAGTTAAATTATAACAATTTAAATGTCGAAGTTTTAAGGCATTTCGCCCGATTACAAGCTAAAGATGATCAAGGTGGGATTCGGACAAATACTACCGTCTGTTTGGGGAAAATTGCTCAACATTTACATCCTCAGATACGACAAAAAGTTTTAATATCAGCTTTTATTAGAGCTATGAGGGATCCTTTTCCACCGGCGAGAAATGCAGGTCAAATATTTAATACATAAATGTCTTTATTATCATGCTTATTGAATTAAAAAAGACATTTAAAATAATAATATAAATAAAACAGCTAAAAATGTTTATAGATTTGTGGTATTATTTCTTCTTTGTTTTATAGGTATTTTAGCTTTAGCTGCAACCCAACAATATTATCTATTAAATGAGGTCTCAACAAGAATATTACCCGCTTTATGCCAACTTACAATGGACCCAGAAAAATCGGTTAGAGATTCAGTGTTTCGTACAATTAAAGGGTTTTTGGGTAAATTAGAAAAGGTATCTGAGGATCCAAGTTTAAGGGAAAGTATGGGTAAAGTATATTTTTAATATTTTCATTTGTTTCGAAGATTCGCCATCTTTCAAAACATAAAAAAATATTTGAATGTCCTTGAACGTTTGTAGAAGCAGATGTTAACACAGCAACTCCAAGCCTAGGAAACGCAGCGGCAACTTGGGCGGGATGGGCCGTAACGGCGGTTACTGCCAAATTCTACAGAAGCCAATCGGATACGGACAGAAGGTCACATCCAATTGTTAGCAAAATATTGAATAAACCCGCTTCCTTAGGTAAATCGTTTTATTGTTTTACTATGTTATTGTTTAAGTTCTTTTATTATTTTAGAACAACCTTCCAGTAGTAGTATTTCAACAACAACATCCAGCGTAACCTCAATGACTTCCTTAGAACATGAAGATGGTAGCAGAGGAAATGATTCAGTATCAGACTATGATTACGATCAATGGGGTGATAATGATAATTGGGGAGACATGGAGGTAATCATTAATATTTTTTATTTTTATGCTTCATTATTAAATTTTTAATAATGCAGACTGGTGGACAAATGGCTAGTAGCAGTGGTAGTGGTGGAATTTGCGCTTCAAGTGATCCAACAAGTCCGCCTTCAGCATCAAATACAAATCGTGTAACGGACGGTTGGGATAACGAAGAATGGGGTAGTTTAGAAGAAGAACTCGTGAGTAACGAACCAGATTCCGAATTAACATCACCCGGTGACGGATGGAACCGCGAAGAAGTTATTGACCAAAAAAATCATTCTCCAACATGGGGTGGGGAAGCACAAGGAATGACAAACCGAAAATTACAAAGCTGGAACGATACCGAATTTGAACCGCTCGAAGAAACTCCTGGAGCTAATAACAAATTGGAAGAAGCAAGGAAAAAACGAGAAGAAAGGAAATTAATGAGACAAAAAGAATTGGAAGCGAGAAGGGCGAGTAGAGGATCTACGGGTGGACCAATGAAATTGGGGGCAAAAAAGATGTGAAAGAAATAAATGAATTTAATGTAAATGTGTTCCAGAAAAAAATTAATAATAAACGATGCACCAAAATTTGTTACATATCCCCCCGTAATTAAACGTGATTTTGATGGGAATCGGGAATTGATAGAAAAAAATTTTGCCGGCCTAAGCAATCAAAAAAAATTTTATGAAACGATATTCAAGCACCGATTCAAGTCGTGACATACTCGAAGTTTTATAAAAGACTGATATTCGAAAAAAGAAAATTAAATAAATATTGTGTATAAATATTAATATCTTTATATCTGTAGTTGTAAGCATATTTTACATCTTATTTGTACTATAATCACATTTACGCCAAGTGTTTCAAAATATGGTTAAAAAGTAACTTCATTTAACATCTTAGAATTTTGTTGTATGCTAAAAGAGTTAAAACCGTAACCATACTAACCAAGAGCAGATCATTTTTTCTTTTTTAAGCTATACTTATGAAACAAGGTATCTAGTAAATAACGTCAAATCATTGCTGCTTTTTGTTAATTGAGCGTTTTTGCTAATTGTACGAATTGAATGATTAATTTTCATTGTAAATATGTATCATTTTTGTATAAGTATTTTTTAATGTGTCTATTGTATCTTTCACTAATTTGAGATTTTAATAACAAATAAATACATTTATAAATTAATTTATTTAATCCCTCATCCATGAACATAATTAAATATAAAAATATAGGTAATATAAATATAGTTTGTGACGTTTCCAAAGCGTCTCTAAATTATTGCCAACACTCCCTGCATCAAAATCTAACAAAACTGTACTAAATAGGCACTGAAAACTAAGATGGTGATGTTGAACGTTTTTTAAGCCATTTTATCTATTAAACAATTCACAGTTTAGATTTTGGGCAGGAAATATTGGCGGCTAATTGTCAAGATGGATCTTCATATCTCACGGTCATGGAATTAGCATTTCCAGGTTCCAATTTGTAACCAATTGATTTATAGAAAGGTATCAGGTTATCTTTACAATCCAAAGTCATTTTGTAACAACCTACGTGTTTTGCCAATAACGTTACAGTTAGCACTATTCTGTGAATATATAAAAAAAATTTATGATAAAGGAGTTTGAGTAATATATCGCTTACAATTTTCCGAGCTGCTTCCCGCGATAAGTATTGTTGACAACGACGTCTTCTAATTTTGCTCTTAAGCCACAACCGTGAATGAATTTTAATTCGGTTACAAGCGATGCGGCTCCAATGATTGTTTTTGATCTGGTATCTTCAATAACTGTTATATAATACTGACCAGTTTTTTGCATTGCCTTGTATTGACCTGAATTTGAAAATAAAAAAAAATACACAGATTTACAAAAAGGGATGTTACTCTCATATTTTAAATTTAAAAGAAATTACTTCAAATTTTATTTAATTTTTTTAAATAGGACATAAAAAGCAGGATGTAGTAGTAAATTATCAGTTGAGTATCTTTCATAATAAATCAAAAAAAATGATATTGATTCATATTTGATAAGGAACTAGAAAAATTAATCTGATAACATAAAAAAATACAAGACACCAATGAGTATTATTAATTTTCTTTTCTCGAAACAATGGAATTAAATTCTTAGAAAACTGATAACGTTTTAAATAACAATAATTACTCCTGTTTCTTGTCACTTTAGAATGTAAAATATAGCGACAATAACCTTGAAAAAAATCACAATAGTATGAATTTTAACTGTTTAATTTCTTTTAACTTACTTTCGAATTCTTTTTCTGTAATATTTCCAACTGCAGTTAATTGTGATAACAATTGCACAAATCCCTTTTTGTAATCTTCCAATTGTAGCGGTCTAACAATTAACCATGATTCACCAGGTTCCGTACAAGTAACGAACGGTGAAAGATATGGTCTCACCAAGTTCCAATCCAAATTACTTAATAGCTTAGGGTCATACAGGTATTCTCCTGTAGAAGACATCTAAAACGGTAATATTTAGTAATTAAATATTAAAAAATTTACAAATAATAAGTCACAAGTTAAGCAATGAAATTTATTAATTACCTTGTTTATTATGACCATATTAATTAAATTAACTCACACATATGGACAAAGAACGTGTCACGCCAACGAAATAAAGGTGAAATAAAAAGGAATGCAGCTAAACAAGCCAGTATAAATACGAAATTTTTCCCCTCTCCTCGTTGCTATATTACCCAATCCTTGACATTTGAAACACTTTCTGACTATCTAATAAATTTAATTTTTTATTATGGAAATTGTTTAAACATGTTTTTATAATAAATAATAATAAAACAAACGATTTTTTTAATTAAACATCACAATATTAAAATTGTATTGAATTGTATTTGCCAATTTGACGTGAAAATAACCTAATTTTTCTCTATAATATTCAACTTTTTTTTAATAATTTTCATATAGTCGATATGGATCATAAATAAAATTACAATTATTTAAATATAACAACCAAAAAAATATCTAATTAAAAAATACCAAAAGTAATGCTTTGACGTATGACATAACCTCATTTTCGCTTTTCTAACCTCACTTTTCATAGAACATTTTAATCTTTCAAAATAAAGCTGAAATGGTGTGGTTTCATTGGCTTCATAGATTTATTCGGAAACATACCACACCTATAGCTGAACCAAGAGCGGAATTTTTCAGAAGAAGATTATCTTTCGTTTACATGATAATTGCTTGGAATGCCTTTGGAATAGTTTGTTACAACATTTATCAAGGAAAAAGGAGTGCGGCAGAAGTACTAGGTTATAATATAAATGAAAATAATGAAACGCCAGGTAAAGTGATTAATGCACTTTAAATTAAAAATAATAAATCATTGAAATATAAATATACTTTATTTTTCAGCCCAACAATGGTCAAAAACTTTAGGAATAAAAAAGGCCACGGTGTACAGAGTGGAAGGGTTCAATGTAAAACGATACGAAATCAATAATAACGACTCTGATAGTCAAATAAAAACAAACGGCGAAACGATCAGTGATTCTAACGGGGCGGTAAATTAGGGTCCTAAAAACTAAAGCAATACTTAAAATCACAAAGGGTAGTAATAGAGAATAGCGTCTCAATTAAGTTTAACCCTTTCCTTTCCATGGTAGCCATATGGCTATCACATTTAAATTCCTATTTCGATTTCCAGTAGCGGAATTAATTTGGGAAGGAAAGGGTTAAATAAAAACTTAAAATATAAGTCATTTAATATTCGTAGTAATAAATTCGTTATATACTGTAATAATTGTTCAATTTGTAAAATTATTGATTTACTAAAGAAAAGGAACATTTATAATTCACTGTCCTGTAATTGCTCGTGGAGAATTCCGTTGTACTTTAAATTTCTCCATTTGTACCAACAGTGCTGCCCTGAAACAGAAATGAATAAATGAAAATAATAAATAGAATATATATATATATTAAGAATTTTGTTTACCTATACGATTCATATCTCATCACAATATTTTGTAATTCTTGCTTATAAAGCCTGGTTAACATAGCATTGAAACAATCCAGTTCATTCAATCGGAATAAATCCCAATTCAATTTATGATCATGATCAATACTTGCTATAATTACACAGTGTATATTGTACATTGAATATAAGTATATTTAATATTACCTTTAAAATATACTATTAACCAATCTGGAATTTCTTCATTTAAATACGGATTTGCTGGTACTAAAACGCTGTGAGGCTGATAATTTGTTTGTCTTGGAGGATTGAAATATCTCACTTCAGGTTGATAATTAAAACAAGGCATTAAACATGGATGCTCATACTGAGCTTGTCGTGTAATATGACTAAAGCAAAATAAATAATGAAAAATTTCTGTTTTTGAGATTCCTTAAAATTTCGTATTACTTAAAATAGTAAACTCCATATTGAGGCGAATGAATACATTGCCACCCAGTAGGTAGGCCCTCTCTTTCTAAGGGATGTGACCAATGTGTAGTTTTCGTATTATGATCAACGTAATATTTCCTACCCCTTAATGTATAATCAACTGACCAACCAGGTGGTAATGGTAACTCTTCAGATTGATCTAAGTAATAAAATAATTAGAAGAAACAATTTGATGTATATTGCGACGCTGAACTAACTGACTCATAGCCGCATATTTATGAAGTTATGATTCAAAAATAATTGAAGGTTTACAATTACAGCTTTACTTTTCAATCATTTTTATGTGAATCTTTTACATGGTAGTTGCCAAACTGAAATCACGTTTTTTTACGTAACTATCAAAAAAACTTATTGTAATCAATTATATGAAATATTTTATATATAACAAACCCGAGGACATCCGAGCTGGAGAAGCATATCTCCCTAAAAACTGCGATATGTCTGGCCAAGACAATATTCGCTAGGATCAACACGATTCCGGTTACGTGATTTGTCCATATGTTCAGTGTAAGATCGACGATCAGAGGGAAGCTTTCGCTGCTGAAGGAGATTCTTTTCGTTGTGGTCAAGTACCGTCTCCTTCAGTACTTTGGTCGGGTGACAGCGTTCATAAAAGTTTTGATGTAAATTTGGACTACGAGATTTTCGTTTGGCACTCTACTTTTCAAGCATTTAAATTAATGATTTAAATTTTAAGGGTGTCAGTCGGTTAAGCGCCACCTTATATAGTATATTATTCAAAAAGAAACCTTGAGTGTTTTCTGTTTGCCCATTGCTATGCCTTAATCTATGTGCAAGAGTTTCTCCATAACTCATTCCAGGATAATGAGACTGATAGTGTTCGGAATTTGTATTACTATAAATCGGGGTGGTATCACTCAATCTTGGTACGTTTCCACTTTCCGATGTATTCTGATAAATAGGCGATTGTGTACGATTATAATTACTATCTCTGTTATATTGAGTATTTTCCGTTTGTCTCAAAGAAAACAATTGATCTATTTCCACGTAATTGGCATTATTCTAAACAAAACAGCAAAAGATTACTCATTCGTTAAATCGAAATTTGAAATCGTACCGATGAACTATCTATGTTATACGAAGAATTGATGTGATGTTGGCTGGCGTAGGTGTTCTGGTTGACGGTCGTGACCGCCACGCTCGAACTGCTCTCGCTATTAATAACCGACAAATTGGCAAACCTTTGGAGGAGCCACGTTTTAGAAATGGGTGTTAAAAACGTGGGCACTTACACGTGTTTAATGTTTTTTTGTCTCATTACATATTTTATTACCTGGTGGCCAAGTTCGGCACTGACGAGCTTGGTGTATACTTGCCCTCGTGCGCTCCCAAACCAACGTCGCTTATTGTGGTCTTTTGATTGCCGAACTTTTGCACGGTGATACTGGGCAGTGAATTTGACGTCACTACAGGCGGTATCGTCGCTATAGAGGTACGACTTTGTTGAGATAGTCTTCGTTTTGGCTCTGTCGTCCATACATTTATTACTGTAAGATGGGTTTCATATTTTTAAATTGAAAATTAATCATTGCTATGTATTCATTATCACAAAGTCTGCAAATCAATAATGTACTTGACTTAATGACTGTTTACGTTTTTACTGTTTAATACAATTAGTTAATGTAATCAAAAAGAGTAGAGAAAATTACTAGAAGGGGACAGTTTTTTTCGATAGAATTTTTTCTGAGTGTCCATATGGTGTGATTAAAATTTCAAATGTTGAATTAATACGTTATAGCATAATTTTACATTTAACATAAACCAGATAAATGCCGTTTTGAGCCTTAAAAATAAAGGATTCTTCAGTTGTTTTACTGATATACATATACACAGATGGAAAGACGTAGACTGCGTTATTGAAGATTGGAGAGACTAACATACCTATATAGGTGATTTAGCCAATGGGTTTATTCAGGATCTAGGAACCAAAAATAAATAATGACCTCTCAATTCAACATATATGGAAGCTAACTTTAGATAAATGTTACAAACAGTTTCTCTGGCATAAGATGAATTACAAAGTAGACATGTTTTAAACTTGAAGATATAAGGCCTATCTATGTCTAATAAAGACCTTAATAATCAGTAGGTACATCAACAAAATCTTATGATGTACAACAAAATTAATATATATAATAATCCATTATGGTGTCAAATATGAGAAAGATTGTAGTTTATTTTAAAATTCTCTTTGTATCAATATAAGAAAAGTCAACTACATTTCCTTCAATAACTTATAATTTTTGATGATTACGATTTAAAGCTCAGCAATTTTTTTATATTTTCCTTTATAAAATATATCATAATTAACTTATTAAATAAATACATAGTGGATTTGTATTTATTAAAAAGAAATTATATGGTTAGAAATATGTAAACAAAGAATTTTTAGGTTAGAAAATCACTCAGTGTCAAATAAGACTAAGAAAATTTATAAGTGTAACAATTTAAATTAACACCTTACTTGGCATTTCTGGTGGTGTGTCCTTTTTAACATACTTTCCAACAACACCCTCCTTGATACTCCTAAGATCTTTATTTTTTCTGGATAACATATCACTTGTAATTCTGATCGAATTGTCACAAAATCAAAAGTGAACGTATTCAAGGTCATCGATCGCGGCTCGGCTCGGGTTCTTTTTTTACGCTCAAGTTGTGATGAACTAAGGGACTTTCAAGAAACAGTCGACTACTTAGAAGAACTCGAGAATTCACGCTAGAACCTTAATATGAGATGAAGCATTTCACTTCGCTGACTTCAGACTTCTGTTGGAACGATTTCATAGCTGGATGGGTAGGCGGTAAGTTTTCTCCTTTCCAAGTTTCCGCACGAATAATTGTCGATTCTGTTGCATCACTTTACCGTTATATAAGGGATAAAAAATATTTCATTTCTCACCAAGAAGAATTTTCATTGTTTGACGGCATAATAATTCTTTGCAACTACTAACAGTCATTATACGCCTGCGCCAAGTTCTTAAACCAGGTAAACTTGGTTGTCTACATTACAGGTATTTATTATATTTAAATATTTTAATTGCATTTTTGAACGTTTTATTAAGATTCATTACTTATTAACATTTTATTTAATTACATCCGAAACAGCTTTTTATCAAATTATTAAAGTTATCATCTTTGACCTTTCCGATTAACGTTAAATCTTATCTTTATAGTTTTAAGTCATTTTTATCTGTTGAATGCCTCTAAATTAATGTTTATTAACCAAATTATAATAAAATTTAATTATAAAACTACTTATTTTTTATTGTTTTTTTATTTAGGTGTTGCTGGATTATTAGTAGGTCATCCAGCTGATACAATAAAAGTCAGACAACAGACGTATGGAACAACATTATGGCCATCAGTATCACGTACTTACAAACACGAAGGTGTACGTGGTTTTTTCAAAGGAATGTTATTTCCTTTACTTACCACTGGGCCGATAAATTCAATTTTTTTTGGTTTCTACGGTAATACACTTCACATTTTAGAAGAGGGCCGATATGCGAAATCTCCAAGTGATGATCCACGATACCTACAAAATGTTTTTGTTGCTGGTACTTTTTTTTTAACATTTTAACGTTAGTATCTTACATTAAAATTGAATGATTTAGGATGTACTGGAGGATTTGCAACCGTCTTTTTTACTTGTCCCATTGAATTGGTTAAAGTAGTCTTACAAGCACATACTGAAGGAAAAGCTACATGGGGTGCAGATAAAAAAGGTGTAGTTATTAGAAAAGGTATGATAAACTGTATACGACAAATTTATAAGGAAGGTGGGTTTTCTGGATTTTACAGAGGATTCGTTCCGATGTTGTGGAGGTAACAATAATGTAACAAAGATAATTTATTTTCAATATCAATTTATTTTGTTCAAGAGATGTTCCTTCTTATGGTGTTTATACATGGGTTTATGAAGTATGTTTACACTACGTTTTTTCTCCTGGGATAATGAGCGATGTGTCTCGACAAATATTTGCTGGTGGACTTGCAGGTATTAATAATAATTATGCTTTTTTTAATTGCATGATGCATGTTGATTAATACATTAAAAATTGTCTTCAAAAAATCTTTTAAGACGAAAAGACAATGTTTCTTTGTAGGAACCGTAGCGTGGGGAATGTGTATGCCTTTCGATATGGTAAAATCCCGATTGCAAGCCGATTTCAATAATTCTACTTATAAAGGGACGATCGACTGTGCCTACAAATCCTATAAATCAGAAGGATGTTCGATTTTTTGTAAAGGAATGATTGTAACTTGTTTGCGTGCTTTCCCAGTAAATGCTGCTACATTTGCACTTTATGAGCGCACAATAGTGTTTTGTAATCATCTTTCATCTTCTTCTAATCCTGCTGTTTGTAGTTGATTTTTATTAAAACCAATTTTTTTTTATATTTTAATTATTTAATACTGTGTAGTTTGCTCTTTTTATCTTGGTACCCATTTTCGATTTCAATTTTAGGCGTTGTCTCTTGGATATTCTGTATGCCTTTTGATGTGGTCAAGTCGAGGATGCAGGTGGACGTTCTAGCTTTGAGTTATAAAGGAATGTTCGATTGCTTTCGAAAAATGTATTACGCGCACGGAATTCTTGTATTTAATACCGGGTTTGTGATTACATGTCTACGGGCTTTTCCCGTTAATGCAGCTATTTTCGTTGGATATGAAACCGCATCAAATTTTCTAAGGAATTTTGAACGTTAATGATACATTAATTGTCTAAGTCTAGTCAATAGTGTTCGACTGAAGACACCTTTTTTATGCACCACCTTCGGAAGTATACAGAGGCCGAATGTCTGCAGATTTAATATGTCTCAAATAAGTAACAATTATTATTAAAAGAAATATGACATGTAATTGAAATTACTGAGTTTAGTTGCTACACCATCGCTAGTCATCTGATATAAACAATCTTCATTCAGCTTCCACTAATATATTCAATCGATTTTTTTGCAATGATGTCGATATTAACTGAGTGGCCAAATGTTCAGTCGGACCTAGTAGTCACAACAATTTATACAAATTATTTAAAATCTAGTGAATTTTTTTTACTATTCGATTTTAATTTTATTTATAATTAATTTATTTATACCTAGGGCTAATTGTAGCTTAATTATTTGTTTAATTATTAATAGAATTAGATTTTTTTAACCAAATGTTTAGGTGTTGCGTCTTGGATTATGTGTATGCCTTTTGACATGATAAAAACACGAATGCAAGCTGATAACATCGCAAAACCAATATATCGTGGAATGATCCACTGCTTAAAAAAATGTTATCAAGACGGAGGATTTTGGTCCTTTAATAGAGGTTTAACGGCTACCTTATTAAGAGCATTTCCATCGCATGCGATAATATTCGTTTTCTATCAATACACATTAGAACGATTGAGTGGAGATGATATTTGAATGTGGATGCATCTCAAAATTTATCAGTACGAAGGCTTTCACGGCCTGTGTGAATTGAACTAAAATTAAAACTAAAACTAGAACTAACACAAGAATCTTTCAGGTTTAGCCGTGCGTCTTTTAAGAAAAGGTTTGACGTTTCGGATGTCATGTTGCAACCTTCTTCCATCCAATTTCTGAAGAAGGTTGCATCATGGCATCCGAAACATCAAACCTTTTCTTAAAAGACGTACGGCTAAACCCGAAAGTTTCTAGTGTTAGTTCTAGTTCTAATTTTAGTTCAAATCTCAAAATTTGTATGTACTTAAAATATGAAATGATGATATATAAGCAATAAGTGCGCCTTTGTTTACAATCTTGTCAGTTAAATAAATGTTCTTGTACATTTAGAAAATATTCATTTATTTATGTTCATATTAAAGTTTATTTTTTAAGAAGCAACGTGTCCATTATACTAAGTGATACTTTCTCTGTTTGTCCTTATTGTCAAAGCCCTGAAATAAACTCGACCACATAATTGAAAGTAAAACAAAACTGTATAATAAAGTGTTACATATAGTTTGTATAACTTATTTAACAGTGTATTTAGAATTTATATCAAATCTTAATGGGGAGTTCTTAGAAGACTTGCCGAGCCTGGTCCACGACATGGTTGATTTAACAGAAACCAACTATATAGATTAGTTCTTAGCACCTATATCGTTTATCAACGCGACAGAAGTTCTACTACTTTTATTAGTTCTAATGATGAGTTCTTATTGTGCACAGGAATTACTGCTACTCCCCGCTTTGCTCTTCTTGCCCATTTCGTCACTTGTGGTCTTTCATTAAAATTAAGAGATAAGTTGGCGGAGGTACACCATTCCAAACAGATTTAGCTGCTATTTAATTCACAAATATTATCGCCCGTTCTGCTCTTACGACCAAAAATCCCGTCACAGTACGAACTTATTGCCTTTAAACAAATTGATAGATGAGGGTATTGTTAATTTTGTTATTGACATTTAGGAAAAATAGGAAAAACATAGAAAACCATTACTGTTAAAATCATAACGTTTATTTACGCACAGGAGTGCGTACATTCACAAGTCGTATAGCTAAATATCTCATATAGAAACTATTTTCAAAGTTATATATAAATGTATTGATCTGTCCCATACACGCGTTTCCATGTTCTGAGTGAAGTAAAGGGGTGGTGGAAATCAGACGACGAAACGAAAAGAGAAGTACAATGGTAGATTTAAATAGTAGTCGCTCGCTTAATTCAGAATCAAATTGTAATGCGGCGCAAATGATGCGACGATTAACGGACGATTGGTACTAAAAAAAGCAAAAGATGATGAGATCGGAGGTTGTCAAACGTCTTCTTGTATATGTTATATTACATTTTTGTTATTTTATATACTTATTTTTTTTACTTAAAAGTAAATGCAAACTAATTTGATTCTGATGTAAGAACCGGTTTCGTATATTCATATTATTAATAGTAAATGTTTTACAATGTGAACAAACGCAATGCGAAAAACAACAAAAATTTAACAATATAATTTTTATATATTATCTACATATGATTTTTAGTGATTCTTCAGATATATATATATTACATAGTCTAATCAGGGATCGAGCGCGTTACGCGCCCATTTTATTTATTATTTACGGCTCTCTTTTACATTAGCAAAAAAAGTTATGCACTTCATTTATTCATAGAGCTAATCTACAATATAACAGACGATAAAGTTATATCACACGTTATTACTATACTTAAGAAGTGGGCATATCATTGTTTTTCATCTTTTATTATTATAAACACGTATCACAAAAGTACACCTAAATACACGTATTATTAATTAGAAAAAGAAGGGCCAAACTAAGAGTAAAGGATGAGGAAATAAATTATTGCTGTTATATTACAAGGTTCTTGTTATTAGTGCAACGAAAAAACAAATATTAATAATAGTAATAATAATAATCATACTTTTATAATTATATAGAATACTTAGCATACATAGGGGTCTATATTTTTTTCCTTTATTAACTTAAAGATTACACTTCTTTCATTAATAATTGTCATTTACAGTGCTCAATCGCATATTCATGTATATAAATGTATGTATGTATGTATGTATATCGTATAGGTCATAATGTGAACGTTATACGAAAAATTTTTCTACGCCGGTACTCTCAAATCTTTATAAACACACCTGCAAAAGAAGAAAGATAGGTTTGAGTGCGTACACCGAGGCAGAGTAGCTCTATGAATGGCGCAACTATTAAAATTGAGCATGACATGCACAACGTACTTTATCTCTCGTTTATTTTCTTTATTAAAGTTATAAGTTCTTAGTATTTAACGCCTAAAACGTAATTCGCTAGTTTTATCCATGTTAAATGTGTGTGGGTGTAGTAATTTTCTTAGTTATCTCTTGTTTATCTAAAGCTCCTCTATGTATAACATAACAGTGCTCTTATATAAATACATATTTTTTTTGGAGTGCCTTGCACTCAAGAGTGCGTACTCAAGCGGCCGCATATGACCATGTTTTTTTTGCTCTGTACAATATGTTAATATGCTTTCGAAAAATCGAAAAATCATTCGCGCATCCAATTTCGTGCACTCGTTCACATTTTTAGTACGTTCAGCTTTTTAGCACATTTATGTGGTTACATTGTGTTTGAAAAGGATTGGATTGGGGCCAAAAAAGAAAAAAGTAATTGCGTTAATTTCAATTTGTTATACAATTCTACGAAAAAATAGATAGTCATAATTAGAACAAAACACATGATTAATCAAAATTAATATAAGTCGATATATAAAAATTGCAATTTAATTTTTAATCAAAGAACAAAACAATAATATTTAAAGCTCTAGACAATATATTTTCAAGGGTAACTACTGAACAATAATAATAAAAAAAGAAACCACATAAAGCTTAACCGTTAACTTAATGTTCTAAATCAAAATATAGCACATCAGGTTTTAAAGAAAATAAAATAAAAAGAATTCTTTTCAATAACAATCCATAGCAGTAGAAATAATTTATTCAAATTATGGATAAACATCCGATAGGTTACTAAATATTAATTTTTTTAAAGCATTGGCGACAGTCACCAACCGTACTCCAAACACAAAGTGAACTTAACCACGATTTTTTTCTTTTTAGCTATTTACAAGTGACCATTTATTCTATAGCACATGTTTACAAAATCTGTCTTCACAGCTACAACACCATAGGGACATAGTCCGTTAGAAGATATCGATTTTCACATAGTTTTTTTTTTAGGTTACTCGTATCTCTTATATAATTTTAATGCTACTGTTTTGTTTATCAGTTACACCACGTAACGAGTTTTCGGGCCGTATATATTGATCACCCATATATATATATATATATATATATATATTGATAACGTTTGAGGATTTTACTTAAAACCAAGTTGAGGGGCGAAATTAAAATAAAACCATAAATATTTTACTAACGACGTCGAAATTGTACCTAATATATCGCGCGTATTTTGCAGGTTTTTTTACGTAAAACGGGCGGAATCAATATTAACGGCCCGATTGCGCACTACTGTAAGACTTACCGGCGTATAACTATACGGAGAAGGGACGAGCGATAGAGCAGTATCACTTCTTGCCGGGAGGACTGTTGTGCGATCCTATCATTTTCTTTGAATGACTTATTTCTAGTTCACCTAATCGTTTCCACAATTCATCTCGTTCTTTTTCACGTTTTTTCTCTCTAGAAGAATTTATAAAAAATTGTAAGTATATATTAAAATCCTATTTAAAAATTTGTACATTTCATTTATATGATGAAATCTGCGTGTTTAACCGTGCGTCAGAAGGCGCACCTTGCTAACACAATCTAATGATTGTGCAAGTGTTAATTCTAGTTTTAGTTCAACAACAATGTATTAATTTTCTTGAATCTTTATATCTTTTCTTGAACTAAACTAAAACTAACACTGGACTTAAAACTAGAAGCATTCAGATTTAGACGTCTTAAGAAACACATGCCTAAACCCGAATGTTTCTAGTTGTAAGTCTAATGTTAGTTCTAGTAAAAGTGTCAGTGTTAGTTGTCATTCAGCGTCAAGTTGTTATATATTTTTATTGAACTAAAACTAGAACTAACACTAGACCCTGAATTAGGAGTTTAGCAGGGTAATATGGGTTTAGCTGTGCGTCTTGTTTAGGTTGACAAACTTTGAATGGTGCTTCTTCTACATGCATTACATTATTTTTTCGATTTAGAAAAATTGTTGTCATCAGGTAGCAAAGTTTTGCTACTGTTATAAAAAAAAAGTATACAGTTGTCATTCCTCTGCTAAAAACCTGTTAAGGTATCAAAACAAGAAAAGACGCGATTTATTAATGGAGCTTTTTTTAAATTCATAGCAAAATGATTACAGATTAAAATAAAATTATTCTTTACTCCCTTTTTTTAGACTTACCTTTGCCGTTCGGCTTTGTAACTAGCTGTCAATTCATCAAACAGCTTCGAGTTCATTTCCATGAAGGTCTTGAGTACGTTGTAGACTAGTGCTACAATCGTTTGGTTCCAATGCTCCTTGGAAATACGATATAGTGCTGGAAACATAATTGGCATAATGACGTGGTTATTTTCCTCCATCAGTGACATAATGTACTCGTTGTTCCAAAAGTACAGAGCTCTTTCAGCCACCTAAAATTATTAATAAAGTTATAATTCAAAAATTAGTAATTTATTTAAAAATTGATTTTACCTGAAAGTGGGGACTGGAAACGCATTTTGATATCTGACGGAAAAGTGGTTCTTGTATGCGAGTGAATTGCGACGGTTCAATAACGTCGAGGACTTCCTCGATTTCGCCAAGAAACATCACCTCTTTTTGACTGCACGTCTTGGGCCAGTATTTGAGCAAGCCCCTAACAACAGGCTCAGTAAGGTTAGGATCTTTCTCGAGAAATTGCACGACGCAATACGCAAGCTGGGCGTGATACAACGAGAGGCACTTCACCTTATGCAACGGTATCAGCACCTTGATCAGAAATTGCTTGTGCTCTGCCTTTAGGGGCAGCGCGAACCCGTTTATAATGGAACCTAGAATTTCTAGCAGCTCACCGACACCGTTAAAATGTTCAGTCTCGTACACAAATCTACAAAGAACAAGTTTTTACGAAACAAAATAAGAAACAAGCGTTTTATTTGTTACCTAAGGAATATATTATTAATTTGTTTCCGTATAAACGCTCTCAAACCGAGAAATTTCCCATAGATCCTGTGTAAAACTGTTTTGAGGAAGTCACGCTCCCTCGGGTCCTCCGAGTCGAACAATTCAAGCAATTGCAGCACGAACTTCTGGTCTATGACGCGCTTGCCGATACTCGGCTGAAAGTCGGAGCTTTCGAGGAACCGAAGAAAGAACTCATAGACAAGCTGAAGATGGGGCCAGCTAGCCTCGAGCGTCGGATCATCCTCTTCTGGATCGAAATCCGGGTTTTCGCTCGGCGGCAACGTCCGAAATAGATTGTCCGAGATCATCTTGATTATCTCCGGATAGACCGGCTCGGTCAAGACTCCTCGGCCACCTGTGATGTAATCGACCAGCTCGTTCAGCGTGCATCTCTTTACCTCCTTGCCCTTTAGGTCAGCCACCGGGTCCATAAAATCAAACGAGACACAACATTGTCTCAGTTTTCTGATGAATAACTCTTCTTGTTCACCCGATGGCACATCTGAAGCAATTGTAAAAGAAACGTCTAGTTAAAAACATCATTCATGTATATATTACTTGATAAACATTATCAATTCATTTTTATTATTTTATGAATAAAAAAATGTTAAAATACTTTGAGCATTTGCTTGTATCAACAAGGTAATAAAAAATACAAGGAACCTAATACAAATAATTAATACTAATAAATACTCTTTAAATATATGGAATATGAACAAACTCTTTATATTTATTAGGCCCAATGTTACGTTCTTATTGACTTGCATTATCTAACAGGAAGTTGAAAATGTTTTACTACCTCAAACTGTATATTAATCGTAATTACAATCAATGTAATCAACATTTACAATTCTAACCGTTTTCATTCATTCATTAAAAACTAAATGTTATAAATACCCTAATTAAAGTTTAGTATTCTAATTAGAATTAGTTAATATAACTGTTTCCAACAAATATGGCTTTTTGGCATACTAAGATAAAATTCACGTTGCCAAGTATTGAAAATGCCGCGTTGCGACACAATACAAGTGATAAAGGCGTAGTCCTTATTACCACGAGCGAAAACAGCTTAAAAATTAAAACGCCCTTGATTCAAATCGTGGCGCGATTCTTTTAGCATAAACGAAAAGTGTCTCATTAACTCGCGAAGTTTGTCTGTGCGGAAAATACACAAAAGGGTTCCGCTGCTATCGATTTAGCAGGTCGTCGCGATGCTCCGTTGTTTACAGTACAATATCATTGCATAGACGCGACCAATTAAGCTCCCATTTAGAAGAAAAAAAATTAGTCGTAAAGATACGGCCGACTTCACGTCGTCGACGACGCCAGACGTCGTTGCGGCGACCTGACCCACTTCTAAATGGGGTAGAGGCTCTAAAAAAAACGCGAGTTCTTACCGGCTCGTGTTGTTCATTGATTGAGACATTGGGACAACCATAAAAGGTTGTTATTATTATTTTCTTCAAAATGTTAGAATTTTAGTGTAGAGCTCTTTTAGTAATGACTCATTTGTTCCCAACGGGTTCCTAATCATTCGAAACGCTTGTCGCAATGAACCTAGAATGTAGTAGAAGTAATGAAAATAATCGTTTTATTTGAGAATTAGATAAGCGATGAGATGGACTGACGCAACGTTGAGGTCAGTTGATGTCAATTTACCTAGTAGCGTGTCAAGAAACGGCCGTACAATGCTATAAACATCTCTAAATGGACATTCTTTTTTATTTACATTTCGGATTAAGACACGAACTACTCTCTAAATTGAAGTACAATTGGTAGTGCTCATTGTTTAATTTAATTCAAAATATCAAGAATTCTTATTAAGACATGAAATAAATCAAGCGGATACGATAACCTAAAACCACAGTTTTGAGCTAGAGTTTATTAGATTTCAAGATTAAATTAGAGACATTATTTATGATTAAGCATGTTGATAAGTTTATAATTATGACCGAAAAATGAATTGCTCATTGTTCGCCGAGAATGATATAGTGGTAGATAAATATTTTATTTACATTAACCCGATATTAAACCAAGTTCAAACAGTGGCGACCTTTAGGATCCAATTCAATTTTGCGTAATATCAATAAATACATTAACGACACCGTTATGTGATGAATTACAGCACCATCGTCGTCGTACAGAAAATGGGCCATCGTAAAATTTTAACGGTCGCATTCAGCCCTATTGTTAATTAAGTTAATTTACTTTAAAGCAAATAATATCTTCGAGTTTATGCTATAACTTAAAACACACACAAAATCCACATTTCAGCATTATCTATATTAAAATGTAAATAAATAAATTGAATAAAACATTGTATTAAATGAAAAATATAATAGAAAAGTCGGTTGAATGAATATCTAATTTCTCCACGAATAACCTTGCATTTATACATAATACATATATACAGGTGTTCGGTATAAAGATGTTCCGTCAACTAGGACACGTGGCCACAAGAATGCAAAATGTTTATGCTGGACGTTGAAATACGATCTCGAATTCTTTTTATATTTTCGTTTATGAGGGATATCTACAAAAAATTAAAATAAAAATCTCATTAAACTAGAATACTATGTTAAGAAATTAATTTGCGGAGGTACTTGAGAAGATATTAAAAATAATTTCATGACTTTACGTGACCGTACTACTTAATTAGTACTCAATTCTCTCAAAATTTATCTAGCTATAGAATCTATCTCTGCCATATGCTCAGCCAGATTTTCAACAATAGTTGTAATTAAAAGAAAACATCACTGAAAAATCAATTTGATGCGAGAAATGAGAGTGGCAATGTCAAGCGATATACTGCGATTCGAGAAAATGTTTGACGATAAACTACCACATCAACTTACTTGACATTGAAGGGTTTCAATGTCAAGACAATTAAAAAAAACCTTTTTTCTTTAATGATATCAAATTTTAGAACGTGATGTTGCTTTTAAGTTCTACAAAACCACTCTTATAACATTTTTAAATCAACAAAATAGGTAAACAAGTAATATAGAATATGATTTTTGGAAGATATGACCACAGAATGATCTGTCTCTATTGAATAAAATCTTTGTCTTATATGTTTAATTTCTCTTAAATACAAAAAATTTTTAAAACCAAATTTCAATAATTACCATTACAATTAATTAACCATAATTAGCCAATGAGATCGCTTAAAATAACTTAATCACAGTAATAATTTCTTGGATAGCTTTAACAAGAAGCTAAAACTATAGTTGGCAATAGTTTAAAGAGGTGCTTTTGTATTTTTTTTACCCTAACCAAAGTAATATGAATCGTTGTGGAACACCTATACAGTTTGAAGCGCTTTTCCTTCTCATTCATATCGCAGTAGAGAGAGGGCTTACGTATGCATCGCAGGCATTTGTTTTAAACCTTAATTTGATTTATGAACGTGGGCCCGTGTGGCGGCGTACGTTGGCGGGCACTGAAGCACGGTTCAATTCACAAAATCGTTACTAAATAAACGGCAGAATCTGTCGCCTCGTCCGATTTGATTTGAAGGTTGATATCGCCGTTGTCCTAACGATTACGTAATCGATATTCCAGCGTGCCGCCAATAATTAGATATCCACTTTAGAGCGCCTCCGTCATTAATATTACTAATATAAGCAGTCCTTTGATATTCAACGCCATAATTAAATAAAACATTTTATTATTACTCGATGTCCCTGCATACACAATAAAAATTCATTCTATTTTTGTAGTGAAACACTTTGCAGTTAAGTACTATGTGGAGAAAATTGTATTTGAAATCGGGACACGTGCGTCTTTCTGTTGAAATCGTGTATGACAGATATTTTCGATTGATCTTTTGTCAGATATAGGTCTCGCGATTGCAATATCTAGCAGAAATAAAAACTGCGAATATGACAAACGGGAATGCGGTCGAAAGTTTAAAGGTCATCCTGGATGCAGAGAGTAACCTGCTCTATATTCTTGTCGACGACGAATCTTTTCTCAAAAAGTTCCTCTACACAGGAAATTGAAACCGTCAGAGCAACTTCTAATACTCTACACTTTATCTTGAAATTAAAAAAACTACATTGCTTTTATTAAAGCAATATGTTGAGAAACCCACCTAATCTATTTCATCATTTATTGGAAAATAATATACCTACTGTAATATATGAATTTAATATGAAAAATCTTTGCATTAGTAATTTTTGTGATTGCGAAAAGAATTTGTTTTTGAATGGTAATAAAATAGCATGGTTGCCTTATCTAGAAAAAAAAAAAATCGAATTATAATCGTATACTTTTAAATTACGTAACATATTAAGCGAGGAGTTCAATAAGGCTTGAGCAAGTTGTGACAGCCAGTAAATCAATAATGCAGCCTGACAATGCACTGTTTACTACATAATGATTATCTCATACGCCTCGTATCAAAACGTAAACATTCACAAACCGTGATACAAACGATTCATTATAAGTATGAAGACTTTCACGACCGGTGTTAATTGAACTAAGACAAGAACTAACACTATCACTAGCATTAACAATAGACCTAGAACTAGTAGAAACTTTCAGGTTGTGTTTCAAAAAGTGTTTAACGTTTCGGATGCCATGTTGCAACCTTCTTCAGGAACAAGTTTGAAGTTAACACTTGTTAACAAAAATATACTGTTTTCTTAAATTTTTATATCTTATTGAACTAGAAAAAACTAGAACTAACCGTCTTGAGAGACCCACGGCTAAACCCGAATGTTTCTAGTTCTATGTTAGTTCTAGGGTTAGTTTTAATAGTATTTTTTATTGAACTAAGACTTGAACTAACACTAGACCTAGTATTAGAAACATTCGGGTTTAGCAGTGCATCGTAATGATACTGCAAGTGATAGTTCTAGTTTAATAATAGATATAAAGATTTATAAAAATTGATAAACTGTTGTTGAACCAACACTAGACCTAGAAATAAAAGCATTGGGGTTTAGGCGTCTTGAGACACACCGTTAAACCTGAATGTTAATTTCTAGTTTTAGTTCAAACCATTCATTGTTGAAATTGGAAGGGGACCACAAGCAAATTTGCTCGACGTATTATAATTTCTTTTAAAAGAACATGCACATAAACAATATTCCGAGCGAGTGCAATTTTCGTTTGTGTACTTTATCGTAAATTGTTTATTATTGTAATATGCACCTGTGCATACTCAGTGCGATACTAAAGTTGAAACATTTGTAAAATTTTTGATATTCACGTCAAAATAATATTGAATTTTCTCTCGCAGGTGATCCAGAATAGCTTATCTTTGAGTGGTCGGGAATAAAATCAGTTTGAGTAAACGATCCAGTTGATAACTAATACGTTTTTAGTTGTTTACACGCATCGCATAAATGATTTGAAACGCTTGTGCCATCTTTATTGTTTACGTTTCTACTTATAATCTATTACTATTTTTACCAATTTAAGGTAATATAAAATTTTAAATTGAATTGTTTACATTCAATTTTTAGTGTTGATAAACACATTATCAAGTATAAGTTTAAATCTAATCTAATATATGTTTTCTGACTAAGTATTAAAATAAAAGTTATTATTACCTGGTAAATTTCTAATTGTAAATGGAACCAATTAAAACTAATGATTTCTAAACGTAATCGAACCAAAACAACATAAACCTTGTACTAAACCATTATTTTTAAACGAAATAATCATTTCCCAAAGTAAAACCGTTTTTGTCAAATTTTTTTTAATGAATCATATTTTATTCTTATGTTGTTAAGTTTTTTATACGTTTCTTGTTTTATAGTGTTAACCCTATAAAACTGACCTCAAACTTACGAATCGTGTCAAGAGATTATTTGGCAACACGTTAAAAAACTCTTCAAGGTTATTGTCATTGTAATACGCTATACTATCTCAAATATTAAAAAAATAATAACATGTTAAAATTACTTATTTAACGAATAGTAAATTTTTGGTATGATTGAATTTTCTTTTGTATTAAAATTCCTCGATTAGATTAGGTTGCACAGATGAGCCATATCGACAATCGACCAGTTTTTTACTTAGTACTTTTTGATTAATCATCGTGTTTTAAACCCTGCCTAAGTTATGGTTGATACTGATACTCTGATCTGATAATACTCTAATCTTTGTAGATTCGTTTTTAAGTCGAACTACAACTCCAAACAAAATATACTTAAAACTAACCGATAGTAAATACCCGTTGCAATTGATAGACACGGAATAAAATCCGTCCAATAATTTATATTGGTCAAAGTTTATAGGTTATGTCAAATTACAATTGCTAATCGAGGCCGAACATTTTGTTTTTATATCAACCAGCTTTCAATCTCATATTTTCTGATAAACTCTACATATATTTATAGTTTAATTAAATAAGTATTTATTTTCTTTTTATCGATAAAACGAGCTTGACTTTGAAAGGCGGTTTATTAAATTTTAAAAGTGTTAATTAAATATAAATGAAAAAACTGTATAAATTAAAATTAATATTTACGTGTATACCTACAACTCAGAAATTAAATTTCAGTAGCTAAAAGTAACATTAAGAATTAAGTCTTTTTATTACGTACTAATATTTGAACTAAAACACTTCACAAAACTTCATTTGTATTGGTTGAATTCCGCTTAATTGAAACATAAGATAAAAGGGAGCATACGCTTATTTAAGACAAATTTCACAAATCGCGATCTAAACCAGTTAATCAATAGATTATACTACTATGTTGATATAATTTACTGATTAATTGAAATAATTCCAAATCTATTTAAAAATACATATGCGTGTTATTAAATACACCGACAACCATTGGATATCGCGTAATGTCACAAAATTCACTGTTGGTTACAGTTAACACAGTGTGGATTATTTTATAGACTGAATTTTAACATTTATTAATTACTTTGTATGTATATGTATAATTTTACATTGTTTCTTGTCTATATTGTGTCTGAATTGTAAACAGCAAGGTTCATTTTATCTGTACACAATACTCAACAAAGATAATTGTATACGAATGGGTGAAATTGATCGATTTGATGTACTTTACTGTGCATACATGCGCCTTTGACATAGTTAAGCTGTATTATACATTTACTATTTTCAATTCTGCCCATCGAATGATAAAATTCTGACTAAACCAATCTACACCCAAAGATTATGTAACCCCTGAAAAGATTACAGGAAGATGGTAAAATTGAGTGGCAATGCAATTTATAGCAAAATGTTCCATATAACACGAAATTTATAATCTTAGTTCTGTCAAATACTTACCTAAACTACTCTTCAACTAATATTGTAAATGTAAAAATTCATAATAACATTAATAAACTATAACAAATATTTTTATGGCAAAACTTGACATTTTTAAATAAACCAATTGATGAAGTGTCACTACAATAACTCAAATCATTTATCGAACCAGGATTTTAGATCCGATCAATTACTACTATAGAGAATTAGTAGAACTAGTACAAAACTAATTAGCAACATTTGTAGATAAACTGATAGACCAATAAGACTAGATAAACCAATAATAATATAATGATATCTGAAGGAAATTAAATCAAATAGATTTAATTTATCCTTTTTATAATTTTATTTTATAGATAAAAGTTTATCGATTGACTAGTTTTTATTTTGGTTGTCAAAGAATAATAATAATAACAACATTTTGGTAACTAATGAAACATGGAAAATAACTGACTTGATTTCTAACATCAGTTTGCCACAGTATCTATACTATAAGAGGCAATAAAAGAATACTAACCGAATTATTTATTTAAAAAGATTGAAGATTTAGTGTTAACTTTAACAACTTCCTATTGAATGTTAGGTTAAGTGATGGCTGTTGCCATGGTTACCGCTTAATGCTTAACATCACTAGGATTGGTCACCACCAGGATTGGAAATATTAGCTGGTTTGTTTTGTTCCTTTCAGTTTCAATGCCTCTCTTGAGTTTATTTTGGGACACTCCGTATGTATAACATCATTTTATTTATGTTGATATCTCTAAGAATAACATATAATACAGCTAAGACACTTGTATTTCTCTATGACTGTGATAAATAGCGATTAGAAAGTAATCAATTAGATTTTTTTTTGAAATAAAACGATTTAATAGGATGACCCTAAGGGAAGAAAACAATAGATATTCTAAACGTTTAAATAGTTTAAAAAATGTAAGTTAAAAAGGGATTAGAAGATTGATGGATGAATAGGATGTAAAAGTATTTTCGGGGTCAAAGTTTAGAGGTTATGTTGAGAATAATTTGGGGGAATTCTGACGTTCTTTGTTGGAGGGGTATAGGTCATGGCTTACCTTTGAGCGGAGGAAGAGCCTGCAGTTCGCCGTCCTGTGAGTTCCTGTACCTCGAGCTGCCCTGCGACTTTTTCGTTTTCTTTTTGAGCGACCGTTTGGCGAACGGGTCGATTCTATCGACGAACGCCGTCGTCGACATTGTGATGTCCGTGGTTTTTTCAAATGGTTAAATAAGAATCGAAACAGGCCCGTTAAGCTCCTATTTACATAAAGAATACCCGGCGCCGGTCTTCTGCATCGCAAAAACGCCGCCTTCGGTCACGTCAAATGGACACCGTTCGCATATTTTCATTTATTTATTTGAAATTAATTTTCGGCCGCGTATCCCGTCAGTTTCCTATTTCGCACACTTTTATGAATGATACGCGAAAATATCAATGGGTACCGTCGAATAAGAAGGTGTGTGCGTGTGTGTGTGCACGCCCAAAAAAAGAACTAAAAGCCGGCCGAGTTCTGCCACCTGTGCCGAATAGAAATCCCGAAGAAATCGCCCAAATTGAAAACGAATATATTTTAATAGATCGGAAAAGACGATTTAAAAAAACACTTTTCTAGCACTAAACGGGCGACCGAACGAATACACTATATTCACCCGCCATCAGCTGGTTACAACATCACAAATACGTCGTTTTCGATAGGTTCTCCGCCCTCTGCACCCCAACAGACCATCGTTATTATCGTTAATACAGTCCTGATCACTACCGATGCGTAAACGGCACTGTAATACGCGTTGATTTGCGATTTTTTTACAATAATTTTCGCATTCGATGCCGTAAAGTACCTTGGGCTGAAAATAGATGGGGGGGTACTGCGTGGATCAATACAATTACGCAACGGCCACAATGTACTTTAGGAGACACAAATTTCGGCACGAGATAGGGCCGGAAATTCACCCGATAATTTTTAAGCGCAAACTAAACGGTGAAACGTCAAAAACAATCTGCCAGAAAATTTTCTAAACGTAAAAGTACGCTCAATTGTTTCACGTTGTCCAATTGGGTTTCAATATTCCCCTGGACTGACCAATCGCGCGACAGCGTTACAGAACTGACAAACAGATCTCCTTGAAAATGTATGGCGTTTACTATTATCAAATGTTTGACAGATACATAACCTAAATTAATTGTCAAACGTCAACGTTAAAGAGCCGTTTGTTCGTGTAAGTTTAATGTGTATTTTTTAATATGTTAAATCGTCAATTTAATTAAAGATTCTTTTTAGATTATTGGTGTCGTTATTTAATGGCTATTTTATTATCAATGTTATGTGGATTATATTTTATAAAAACTGATCAACTTACAAAGCCCTCTCAAATGTTTGATGTATATTTTACGTACTACATTTATTGCTAAACGTTTAGAATTTAATTTTTAAATTAAAGTATTTGAAATAAAATGTCTTATTCTGATACAACTTGCCCTGGTTATTATTGCGGCAGAACATTACTTCCTGATGGAAAACTGAGTGACTGTGGAGCTTGTCCCAGGGGATCTCGACGTAATGACACTAATTTTCTTTGTGAACCTTGTTTGGATACACCAACATTTTACGACTGGTTCTATTTGGGGTTTAATGTACTTTTAGTTTTAGTTTTACATTTGTCATTTATCGATATGGTTATTATGCGTCGGAGGTATGTCAATGAACCTTATGTTTCCAGAATAGTATTAATAATATTTTCATTTATAGGTTTAATAAAGCTATTATAATTTTACACACAACAGCTATATTAGAAGTTATAATTTCTGGGATAGTTTCTTTACTTTTAATGCATCCGCAAGGTGAATTCAAAATTAATATTTGTAAAGTGAGAAATCTAGCCGATTGGTATACATTGTGGCAAAATCCCAGTCCTAATTATGAAAAACAAATTTATTGTACTCAAGAAGCTGTGTATCCTTTGTAAGTATTATGTATTTAAGGTGACTCGTAAAGAATAGGAAATCTATTAACTCCTCAACATATAAACCTAAATATTCCTTATAAAATGTTTGATATCAATTAAGAAAATCAAATTTGACATTTTGATAAATGCCTTTTTGTAAGACTCCCGATTTGAAGAAAGTAAAAAATTGTTGATGATTCCAAATATACCCAAAATATAAAGCTTTGGTTTTCGTCGGGATAGGGATAATCTTGGAGGTCTTCTGCAACTTTAGAGTCCACCAGTGGAAGCTTGTTGTTGTCCCTGCTTGCAATTTTTTTATATATGTATGTGAATATAAGATAAAACATCATTTAGTTCTTGAGTGGATAACCCATCCACTAAAACATTAATGTGTTCTATTGAGAAATAATGTATGTAATAATGAAAACTAATTGAAACTAACATATAATTAAGAAATGGCGATATATGTATGAATTCACAATGTGCTGATTCCACTTGATCATTACATTTACGGCAGTAATCTGGAGAAATTTGTACGGATTAGGATTTCATCAACAGACAGGTTGTTTTTCACTATGTTTATATGTATATGTATGCGAAATGTTCCTTAAATGCCACATATACCTCTGAATAGGTTGGAACAATTGTTTAACAGCTTGCTGTTTGTTTTGTGCTTCTTTTTATTGTTCTTTTACAAAATAAAGTCTTTATATCTCCTTGACCCCTAATAGCACTGCCAACTCTACTATTTTCTAACCTTGATCTTATTTGGTGTACTGTTTAAATCCAGAATGCATGTCGGTGTAATCTGTGTCATTCTGATTTTAGGAACTTGAGAAAGGAAAGTTGCTGTACCTAGTTTAACTGATATCACTCTATTATGAAGCTCTTTATGTTAATTGATTTATGTTATTAGTCTATTAATTGATGCAGTACACCTCCCTTCGTCCTATCAAAGTACTTAAAGTTGTAACTGCATTATAGCACTGTTAACTTTAACAAATTTTATCAATTGTTGGAGCTGTTTATCAACTCTTTTAAATGATTACTACTTTTATATGAATCAATTGAATATTATGCAGTATAAACTATTAGTGTAATAGTAAATAGTTCTTAAATAAAAGAAATAATCATGGTATGTAGTAATAATGTCAAAATGAAATTTCCATGTATAATAACTCAATTTCTGGGATTTCCTATTTATTATAACTCACCTTCTAAGATTATAATTATACAAGTGTATCTGAATGACTGCAACAAACATCAAGGGGTGATTATTTAGTGAACTTTAAAGGTACTTTGATATATGAACCATTCCTCCAAAAATGGCGGAAAATTTTGGTGTAATTTCTTTTTCTCAAAAACCATAAACGCTAGGAAAATGAAATTTGGGGAATATGTTTAATTCATAATAGGGCACGTTTTGACCCTTTTTGTACTTTCAACCTACCCTTCTAAACTATTAAACGTAACCACCCCCGTTCAATTTATGCCTAGATTTTTTTTATGAATATGATAAATACATTGGAAAAATTTGATTTAGATAGATGAAAATATTCTAAAACTTTTTTGTCTCCCTGATGTTCTTGGAAAATTTAATAATTTCTGAGAAAAACGTTAATTTGGGTTGTTAGGCTTAGTAACTTAGAAGGGAATATTGAAAGTACAAATAAGCTATACCTATTATGAGCTAAATTTAATTCCCAAATTTCATTTTCCTGGTGTTTATAGTTCTCGAGAAAAAAAAATTAAACCATAATTTTTCGCCATTTTTGGAGGGGCGTAGCTCCTTACGGGAGCCGAAGTCGCCCATGGTTCATATATTAAAGTACCCTTAAAATTCACTAAAGAATCACCCCTTGAAGTTTGTTGCAGTCATTCAGATACACTCTGTATATATTTGTTCTTAAAATGTTTTTTTTCTAGATATACAATAGTTTTTGTATTTCATGTCTGTGCACTATTTTCAATGTTACTAATAAGACCTTGGATATGTAGAATATATTATCCAATGCAAAGTAAAATGTCGGTATATGCTGCAATGTATTTTATACCAATATTAATGGTCGTACATGCACTTATTGGAGGATTATTATGTAAATATTAAATGAATTTATTGTTTCAGAAGTTGTTTATAATATTTTTTAGATTATTCATTCCCTTATTTAATAGTTATATTATCTGTAATTTCATGTGCGTCACATTTCGCAAAAAAATTGGATCAATCCGCAGCATCTTTGATGATAACGACCGTTTTAGTGCCAAGAAATATGATAATAGTAATAGGTCATTGGATAATGCATGCTTATGGGATAATATCAATAACTCAACTTACAAATCCAACAGATCACGCCTTACTTATTTTATTAATTCCAGTTCCAACATTATTTTATATTTGTACCGCCAAATTTACAGATCCTAGTAAGTTTCATGTATAAGAAAAAAGATGATATATTATGTAAATAACTTATTTATTGAATAAAAAATAAGATTTTAGTTTTAAAATTTAATAAAGATGAAGTTTGGTTGTTATTAACACCCGTAGTGTTTGATCAAAAGATGAACAAACGGATAAACCAATTTTATCTTTACACCAGTCAAAACCACTAATTGGTTGGGATGATAACGTGCTATTTTGTAATGGTGATAATTCGCCGATTATTCCAACAGGGATTCCATCACCATCTTTATCAACTCTTTTATCAGGGTAATTGCTAAAAAAATTATCTATTAATCACATTTCAATAATTCACATATTTCTCTAATTTACTATTTCCACAAACATAATGTTCCTGCTCCCCCAGTTGTAACAAAAATCTCTCGATTTTGTGGTAAATGTTTAACTAACCAAACTGTTGAATTGTGTGCTTTTTCAGAAAGTTGAGCAAATCCTTTCTTTGGGTGTTGAGTTCTCGTATCAAACAGATAAATTTTCGATTCTAATGTAGCGGCAACCAACTTATTCATTGGAATATCTTTTCGGTCAAATTGTAAACCAACAACTCCATTTTTAACACATTTGGACCACCTCACGTTCATCATTTTTAAATCGTATATTTTAATATCTCCGTTATCATAACCCGCGGCTACTACACGTTCTTCCGAGTTGTAGGAATTTCCAAAACCTACTGACCAACAATCTCTTCCTGTTACACCATCGGCAGGGCCAAATTTAGCTACGGGAATATCTTTTTGACGTACATCCCAAACCATGACATTCCCTTTAATTAAAAAAAAATGCTTTTTGGTGAAGCAGGGATTTTTTTATTTATTACTTCACTTTTTATATTTTTATTTAAAATAATAATTATTTATTTTACCATCTTTCGATCCTGTAACAATTTCAGGAGCTCCACAACCCGTGCTAGTTCCTCCTACACCATCAATACAATTAATAACACTGGTATGTTTAGTGGTTTTATAAATTGGAAGTAAAGTATCTTCTAAATCCCTGTTAAAATAAATATTGATTTAATTTATTTAAAAGTGGATGTTTTCGTCAATTACCAAACTTGTAAACGACCGGTATAATCCCCGGTGGCTAAATGTCTACTGTTTAAGCTGGAAGCATCAAATGTTCCGCATTTGAAGTGTTCTTTTTTGCAGAATTCGCTGATTCTTTCAACACCATCACCGCCAAGACAATACACTTCAATTATCCCTGTTCCGTTTGGATTACCGCCGATGGATACGAATTTTGCTGAGGACGGAATCCACTTCACATCGTTTATTGAATAGTTTGCCACTTTTTCTACGTGGCATATTATCTGAGGTTTTTGCAACTTGTCCATGGTTGAAAGAAGATTGTTTGTTCGTTTCCATAGAAACTGCTTAGTAAAAAAAATCTATTAATTTACTACAATTCTTTAATAAATAGTTAATTACCATTTGAATAATTATCATCTTAATTATTTAAATCATGTAACAATATTCCTTCTTAAATCATTTTTTTTATAAATAAATTTGTAGTAAAATATATATTAAAGTTTTTAATAAGTTGGTTTATAGATGTCACTATTTTGAAATATAAAAATGAGGTTAGGTTTTTGACGTTTTTAAATCAGAAACGATTTTGTTGCCAACATAACAATACCAAAATCTATGATTAACTGGTAGTGACCTGTTGTTCAATTTTTTTTGCTGTTAGGATTACGTAAAATAAACGTAATGTTCGAGAAAGTAATCAAAAGAAGTAATGAACGTAACCGTTCGTGTATATTTTTTCGCAAAAGCTAAAGAGTTGGCGAATAGAAAAGAATCATTTTTAACAATCTCCAATTCATTAAGTTATAAAGATCTCTTCGAAGCTCTCATTAATCAATTTAACTTAGTAGCAATTAAAGACAATATAGTCTTAGCACTTAACGAACAACTTATAGATGAAAATAGTGTGTTGGAATTAAAAACGGGTGATATTCTTGCAATTATTCCTCCATTGAGTGGTGGCTAACAATGGATTATTTAAAAATTACTGCAGAACCACTATCAGTTGCAGACATTAACAGTTTGGTTCTGTCTCCTGATTGTGGTGCTGTTTCGATGTTTATGGGGACGACAAGAGATAATTTTGAAGGAAAAACTGTTGTTAAACTTGAATATGAAGCTTACGAAGATATGGCTTTTAAATCTTTACAGAAAATTTGTTCAGATATGAGAGGTAAATGGCCGCAAATTGTAAATATAGCAATTTTTCATCGGTAATTCTTTCACTAATTTTTCTTTATTTAAAATAAAATTAAAATAATTATTTTAGAGTCGGGGAAGTTCCTGTAAAAGAAGCTAGTATAATAATAGCTATTTCATCACCACATCGTGAAGATTCTTTACAAGCAACTCAATGGTGTATAGATATAGTTAAGAAAACAGTTCCAATTTGGAAAAAAGAGGTTTACGAGGGTGGACTTGAACCTGTATGGAAAGAAAATAAAGAATGTGCGTGGTCAAGACATACTTAATAATAAAACTTGATTTCAATTTTTTGTTATTTTTATATAGATACTCATATATTTTAAAATACAATGTTGATGATATATTTTTGTAAATTATAGATACACCTCCCTTATTAAATAACACTTCCGATAAACCAGAATTGAATTTAAATGTAGTTAAACAAGATGTGGTTGTACCAACCACGCCATCACATTTGATACAAATTAAATGTTCGAAAAAGGAAGTTGAGGAACGTATTGATAAATTTATTGAAAGGAAACGTAATGAAATAAATCGATGTAACGTTAGAGATTTTTGTCGAAAAACTGCGAGTGGTGACGATGAAGAAACTTCTTGTGCAAGAGTTGATTCTGTTTTAATAAAAAGAAAAGATTCCAAAGGACATTTACAGGGTATACATAATCGAATATTACGAATATAGTTAATTATAATTTGTTTATAGTAAATCGTGTTTACAACACTTACAATAGAGACCAAACAAATTCTGATTATCTAACAAAATATATTCCTAAAAATGGTGTCGATGAAAGAATTGAAAACTTGGAGAGTCAATTGAGTTTAACTACACCAGTTCCAAGAAGTATTTATATCCGATTAAAAGAATTAGAAAACCGTTTATTATATTTGGAATCAATTTCCCCCGAATACATTCAATTTTGGGTGAATAACGTTTTTTTGGATTTTTTTTTTATTTTATTTTGATATTTTAGGAGAAAAATACAACCAACAAATCTTTTAAGAAAAAACGAATTTATAGTATTCAAGAAGTTGATCGATTAATTCTGGAATTAGAAACAAAAAGACAAAAACGATAACTTTTAAAAAGTGTAATTTTTTTAACAATAAAGAATTCTTTAAAACAAGTGCAAATCAATAACTTAAATAACTCCACATCAAACAAATATCTTTAAAATATTCAAATGCTGCAATTGCAAGGAATTTGGACCACTTGTACATATTCCAAGTTTCTATACCAATTTAAACCGTATTTAATTAAAAGATTAATTATCTCAATGAGTATAGTAATTAATACAGAAGCCCCCTTCAAACTTCAATGTTGAAACAATTTATTTTTTTGTTGATTAATATATAAATAATAAAAGCACATTAAAAAAAATGTTTTTAAGTACTGACTTATCAAAAAACTAAAAGCCAAAGTACAATTTATGTCAAAGGTATAATCGATAAAATTTTTAAATCCAAGTGCATTGCAACCAAATTGACATACTCAACGACTCACTACAATTACGTAAAAAATACGAGTAATTTTCAAGGTCAATTTATGTATCTGTTTTAAAGGAAAAATATTTAGTTATCTGTCACCTCTAGAACCGTAAAGATGGGAAATCGATCATCGCTATTATTGAGACAAGAAGAAATTGAACAAATTCAACAAGAAACTGGATGTAAGTACTTAAACTAACCTATAAATTGAAACAATATAAATTTATGTGAAATTGATTTTTTTAGTCACGCCTAATCAAATCGAACGTTTATATTCGAGATTTACATCTTTAGACCGTGGGGACTGCGGTACTTTGAGTCGTGATGATTTGTTGAGGATACCAGAAATTGCTATTAACCCCTTGGGTGAACGAATTGTAAATTCTTTCTTTCAAGTGGATGATTTCAATGATAGAGTAAATTTTAGACAGTTTTTGTATGTTTTGGCTCATTTTAGGCCGATTAAAAAGAATAAGGAGAATACTTTGAATTCAAGGGAACAAAAATTGAAATGTATGTGAAAATTTTGAGGTTATGTTACCCTAAAAATTATATCTTTTTGTTTTAGTTGCTTTTAAAATGTATGATTTGGATAATGACGATCTAATATCGAAGGATGAACTATTGGCGATTTTGCACATGATGGTTGGCGAAAATATTAGCGAAGATCAATTAACAAGTATTGCAGAACGTACGATTTCTGAAGCAGATATTGATGGAGATCAAATGATTTCTTTTGAAGAGTTCTGTAAGGCTTTACAACGAACAGATGTTGAACAAAAAATGAGCATTCGCTTCTTGAATTAATGCTATAAAGTTACAAATCTTATAATATAAATTATGTGTGAAAAGTAGTGTATCCTAAGATTGCCGCATAATTAATTGCAGTATTTTTAAAAAATATGTATGTCCTTAACCAAAGCTTAATGTTAACATTTACGTAGGTATACAATGTAAATAACAGACCAAATTACAGTACCAGATAATATTTTATTGTATTTGCTAAGCAGATTATTTTACAAAATAAAATATGAAAATGAATAATGTATTTTTTGAGTTAATTGTTCATATAATTCTAATTTAACCACAAGTTATATAAAAACTTCTTATTCTTTAAAATTAAGCAGTTGAAGAGACAGCTAATTTTTTTAGATGATCCATAAATACTTGAAGGGAAACGTCATCTGTTAAAACTGGTGCTCCTCCATCCTATAAATACATAGAATTAGTATCGTTGTTTATTGTTATTAAGGATACATAAAATAGTAGCGTGGAAAATGTTAATTTATAACAGCAAAATGGAAAAACAAGTTAGTAATGTGAGAAATAAGCACAGTTACTAATCATAAAATTGTGTACTGTACCATTGACGTCATTGTGCCTGGCATACCCTGTCCGAACAAATATGAAAAATAAAAAAAACATTCATTTACATGCAAAAAAAACCTAGTAACTAAAACATATCAATAAAAAATACATTAGCCATAAAACACATTTCAAATAATTCTATTTTATATGTGTAATAAAAATGTTTTATGATGTAGTATTCACAAAAACATGCTGTTATTAAACCTTATTTTACCTACCAATTTTTTGCATAACCTTTTACAATTCTACTATTCACTAACAAAAAACCAATTTAACAATATACTCACACCTCCAAACGAATACATATTATTATGAGTTTGGCTTGGATTGACTTTAGATAACAAAAACCTCGCTTGAGAACCCCCTTGTTCCGTATCAATGTATCTAGGCATTGGGAATCTAGTCAACAAAATTTCTTGGGCGTCATCTACAGGCGCTTGTAACAGCTGCCTGAAGTTTTCGTATTCTGGCATATCTTGATATTTATGACTACGCCATTGAGCTATTGTCTGTAAAAAATAAATTATAATCATTTGTAAGGTTGTCTTAGAATCATAAGAAAATTATTAACGCATCTAGCGCGAGAAGTGACTAAAGTCGTTTTGCGCCGATTTCACATTATGCCCGCTACACGGTAAGACTTTGGCGGCAAAGTGCCCGCGCAAGATGTGTTAGGAAAAAAAATAATCGTACAAGTTGCTTGTAAGCATATTTAATACTTGGTCTGATATGAAGATTTTATGTTTAGCTGAATCAAGAATTAACCCTTCGTCTGTAAGCGGTTTTTTAGCACCTTCCGTCTGTAAAGGTGGGTCTTTCGGGGTCGGCCGTTTTTTCATCCTGTTAATGCACTCAATAAATTTTATACACAATTCATGATAATGTTCGAAACCTTCAACTTGATAAATCAATCATAAAATTATCGCAAAATTTATTTTTGCCTACATATTTATTTATACAAATGAAGAAATTATTTGCCTAAACAGTTGTAGTGCGGGCAGGAAATACCCAGGTTTACAGAGGAAGGGTTAACTTAACACTATCACTAGACCTAGAACTAGACATTTTCAGGTTATGCTGTGCGTCCTCTGAAAAAGTGTTTGACGTTTTGAATGCTATGTTGAAAATTTGTTCAGAAATTAGTTCAAAGTGAACACTTGTTAACAAAAATGTATTAATTTTCTAGAATGTTTATATCTTTTATTGAACTAAAAGTAGAATTAACAGTTGCACTATTATTAAAACTAACAGTAGACCTACAACCAGGTCAAAACTCGAAGAGTTTAGCAATCTTGGGAGACGCACAGCTGCATCCAAAAGTTTCTAGTTCTATGTCTACTGTTAGTGTTAATATTAATTCTAGGTTTATTTGTTATTCAGCGCCAAGGTGTTGTATATTTCGAATACTTCGAACTTGTTTCTGATAAAGAATGCAACATGGCTTTCAAAAGCTTCTAGTTCTAGTTCAAATATAAAAAAAAATATTTCAGTTGAATTCCAGCAAAAATAGTGTAATAACCAAAGCTTTGGCTAGGGACTGTAGTTTACAAGATTGTTAACCTACAAATAATCTAAGGTTTGATAAGTACTACGTCCTTGCTTTGTAAGGCTTCCTTATTAAAACTTGAATCATTTATATGTATATCAAGAAATATAACAAATTTACCTCTCCATGGAAAATTAAAATTTGGAAAAATGTATCCATCAACAAAATCCTATCAGGTTGTATAGAACTTGTGTCCAACAAAACTGGTTCAGGAGGACCATTGAAACTATAACTATATAAAATCGGTTGTATCATAATCAAAGATTGTGTTAAATCTTCTCGCATTAACATGTGTCGATAAAATGACGTTTCATCCGGGGAATTGTTAAAAACCTGGAGAAATTGCGAACGACGAAGATGATACATGAATTGAGGATAAAGACTGAAGTTTTCACCCAAACGGAAACTGTTTGGATCATCTTTATTATATTCACCAAACTTTTGACACTGAAAATATGATTAATAGATTTATTTATGAGAAAAAAGTGTTTTTTTATATAATTTACATACCAAGCGTATTAACATACGATCTACCCATCTTAAAACATCCGGTCCATCATCAGTTTCAGCTCTATAAACTACCATTCTTGCCATAAGGACAGCTGCGGCTTCTTGATCAAAACCTGAACTTATATGATGAATATTTGCTGTTGCATCTGCCCAATTTCTGGCAATTGTTGTTACACGAATACGTTTCTGGCCAGCTGAATGCTTAGAATTTAAAAAATGTTAATTTTATAAAATAAAATACCCTATATAAATACCTGATATTGTGTGATAAACTGGATACATCCTCTTCCGCCTTGCGGAATAGGAGCTGAATGTTGATTAACAACCTCAAAAAATAAAGCAAATGTTGTACTAGGCATAAATGCGCACATTTTCCATTGCACAGTGTTTCCCATTCCAATTTCTGTATCAGAGACCAAAGGGCTCTTGGCATTTAATGAAACACATGGTCCAATTCCACCTTGTATCTTTAATTCTCTGGAACATTTCACTTCAAGTGTCCCATTGAAAGCCATCTTTAATTCATTTTTGTGATCACGAGCGAAAACCCTTTGGAAAGTCTGTTTAAATAAAGAAGAATTAAAGGAATCTCCCATAACCATATGACCGCCCGTCGAGTTGCAGCATTGTTTCATTTCCATCAAACCAGTTTGATCTAATGCACAAGAATAAATGTCGACACAATGGCTGTTAGTAGCAGCTCTCATTGCTAACATTTCATAATGTTTAATTGCCTTTTTCATATACTTGGCATTATCTTTATGGATGTCATGATGTGATCTGATGGGTTGTTTCAAATCATCATTTAAAACTTGACCTGGACCTTGAGAACATGGACCTCCAAGGAACATCATGATACGAGCTCCAGTATTAGCATAAGAACATTCAAGAAGACCAACAGCAATTGATAAAGCAGCTCCAGTTGACCTAAGCGGTCGCTTTCCTTGAGAAACTTGCCATGGATCTCTTTGTAATTCGCCAATTAAATCAGTTAGGTTCATTTCACAATTTGACACCGGTTGTAGAAATCTATTAGCTGGTGGGAGTGATTGTTGTGGCCTTCCAGGTTGCATGGGTTGTTGTTGTGGCATGGAGGTTCCTTTTCCAATGCCTAACATTTCCTGAATTTGTTTGGCAGAAAGATCTTTGGTGCCACGAAAAACATATGATTTACTACATCCTTCTGTACCTAATTCATGTACTTGAACCATTTTACCAAAAGTTATTAAGCCAACAAGTGCATTTTGCGGCATTAAACTTAGTGACATTTGTAAGGAATCTTTTAAAGCTCCTAGTTCTTCTTCATCCATGCAAGTATCAACTACCAAGAGAAAAATTGGGGGGAGACAGTTTGCTCTTGTTATTATATATTCTATTGTTGAAAACATTGGCATCAATTCTGCTGGTTGATGTTGTTCTGAGATCGCTCCATATTGTGCGGGAAACTAATTAAATTAGAATAATATCAATTCGAAATATAAACCTTCTAGCTTTAACAATTAATTTTAATTAGGTTAATAATTAATATGACTAATTTTTATTTATAAAATATTAATAAATATTCTTACCGCATTCCTTTGGAAACAAAAATTGCAAACCCATAATTTAGCTCTGTAATCAATTTGACAAAGAGGATTAAGAATAGCTCGACATGTGGTTCGTGAACAAAGTACAGGATCATATTGTATAGGTGGTAAATCAGCCCTTTCTTTTATGGGTTGATAAAGACAACCAAGTGGAACAACCAAACGCGTCGCTTCAATTCTGCTGGATGGCCAAACGTTCCATGTAAATCGAATTCCATCTCGATCTTCATTAGATTGAATATATTCCTCGTATGTAGTCATCTAATAAATTAATATTATAAATTCTAGTAAAAAAGATTTTTATATACTTACTTTTATTGACTACAAAATCGGGGTAATTTCAACTAAGTAATTAAACGTTTTGATTAACAATTTCTGTTTATTTCATAGTTCCAACACACCAAAAACCACGTCACCTGTCAAAGAGAAAGCTCCATCAGCGGACGTTGTCGGAAATACACGTCACGTGACATCAACACTCCCTCATTTACCGACTGCTACAAAACAAAATGGCCTCTTGTTAAAAATTAAAAATTTGAAGTTTTGTCAAAATTCCAGTCCATTCAGTTTCATTCAATACCTATTCGTGATGATGTGATTATTTTACCCATTCAAATGTAAGTAAACGTAGTTGAATCGGTTTTACTCAAAATTATGCCGCCGCTAGATCCTAACCTAAAATTTATGTAGCACGCTGCTTAACATCTTCTGATAGTATTTCAGTTAAAAATGGAACAAAATCAAGCCCCGATCAAAGAACCTACCGAGTCGAAAACTACGTCTAAATCTGATACTGACTTATCTTCACCCGCAACGACAGATACATCAACTACAATTAAGAGGTAACTTTTAAGGTTTTATTTGTATATTGCGTGTTTGACACTTTGTTGCAGTATTTTCACTCCTCGTCCTAACTCCTCTGTCCTTTGGAAGTGTGACCTATGGAACGCTTCCGAATCCTATGTTTCAAGTAATGAAGATGAATCACAGTTCGGTGAAAGGTTATAAAAAGATTTTTAAAAATGTTTCTTAGCTTACAATTTTTCTTTGGCATTCTTGTCTGATTTGTGGTAGATATTTAGAATTCATTAGATTATTTTTGTAGCAATTTGAAAGTATTTTTTATCTAAATAAGGTGTACCATGTCAAGGTTGCATTTTTATACAAATACCAATTCACATTTTGTTTAATAATATTACTTTTTATGCTAGACTGATTTAGAAAGTTTATAAGTATTGCATTAGCCTTCACTTTTACAATTTTTATTTATTTTATTTAACATTTATTACCAATTCTTGGAGTTGTATAGATGTAGTTCATGCTTTAGTAGAAACAAATTTCAGTGTTGGTTAACATATTAAAGTGATTCATAAAATTTTCAAAATTTATAGATGAAAATCGCTGTTTGTTGAAAAAATATAATGCAGAAATAAAATGACACAACTAAGCTAATAATGTTGACAAATTCAATAGAAAATAGACTATATATTTTAATTCATTAATTATTTCAATATATGGATACTATTTTGCATACAATAACTTTAAGTTAATCTATTTTAAACAGTAAGACTTTTACACTTCTGTTATTTATACGTTCACATATGCTGTTTTAATTTATTCTAAAATTAAAGTTGTGTGCATGATTCTTTAATGTCATAATTTTTTTGAAATCCTAACATTAGATAATAGAACATTAAATAATTTGAAAAATCAGAGAAATTTTAAATCTAAAGATATTTTATTTCTGATTCTTTTCAACTTGGAAGAATGTTTATACAATTTGGCCATGTGGATGTACCATCTGTTTAAGGGGGGAGATACATTTTCAGGATTTTTTTTTATTAAGAACTTCAAACATTTACGTCATTAACTACTGTTTACTGCATACATAAATTGTTGATATATGTTTTTATACATCTCGATGAAGCGCGCTGCAGAACGGGACAGGGGCTATTACATCGAAAGTACTTAAAATTTCGCTTTAATATTTCACTACTATGACATTCTTAAAACGTTAGGAACATTTTTATGAAAAAAAGATATTTTGAATTTTTTGAAAGTTCTAAATGTATTTCCCCCCTTAATTCGTTAACAGTTTTAGTGTAAAGTACAAGTCTTTAAAGTTGTTTATAAATCGTTAATAGTATAACTAATGTTATGATATATACGGAAGTTTTTATTTAAACGTGTGTTTTACCAATAAACTATTTGAAACGCGACGAGAACTTGGCTAGTAGACGACGACATGTTCGTCACGAGGTTTAAAACTTTGTAAACACGCGACACTTTGAAACCGTAAACTTTCCAAGTATTTTAAAGCTCCAGTCGACTTAAATGTGGTATAAAAAGTTTCCAGCGGTTAACATATCTAAAAAATTCCCGATGTGAACAGAATTTGATCAAAATAATGATATTAAATTACTTTTCCGGAAATGGTAGTTTTTCAATTTGTTATTATTGTAATCAATCTAAATTAAGGATAAAACCGCAACCCTTCACATCGAAATTTCTCGATTTCATGACAAACAAAAGTTCCGATAACCGCAATCAGGTCGTGGATTCTAGGTTAATTTATGTATGGCAGCGGTCTCTTTCGGTTTCATTTGGACGGGGGGAAATTGCGCTTTGGGGGCCGTTCTACCACGCACCGCCCGTGCTAGTTAGCTCGGTAAGCTCATTTCCCTTTCCTATTAGTTCGCGAAAATTACTCTATAAGTGAGCCGATGAGATGGTTAAGAAAGGGCGGAAGGCCTCGAAACGAAATTTTGAAGAATTAAATCGTTTAACAAATTTAGTTTTTTAGTAAGTAAAGTTTTGTTTGCAAACTTTTTTAGAAATTGTTTTTTATTCATTCTTTAACATGGAATGAGTCGTAAAAATACGAACATCAATATTAAAATAAGTAGGTTAATTGCTTCTATTATGGCTTTAAATAATTTGATTTAAAGCCTACAAAATAACTTAATGGAATCTAGTATTGTTTTTTATTAGAATATACTATTTTTTGCTTTTAAAAAGTTGGTTGTATTAGAGTAGATTATGTTTACCAATATTTATTGAAATCTTCAATTTACTTTGTAGTGATAGAGATGCTTTAACTCACGAGGATCTTTTGTCCCCGGATACATGGATCATTGGTGGTCCTTTAGGTTCAAAAAATGCAATACTTATATTCCGAAGTTCAGCTTTGGCAAACGCCACAGATATCACCATCCAAAGTAAACCGGCCTATAAACTCCATATTACTTACAAAGTCCTACAAGCTGAAACAAAATTATTGGCAAAACTTTTAGAATGTCATGGAATAACCGAAGTTATACCCACTTCTTCGGATTTTAACATCTTATGGACTGGTTCGCATCCCAAACCGGGAACGTTTCGTTGTTTAGCATCTCATCAAAAAGTAAATCACTTTCCGCGATCTTACGAATTGACAAGAAAGGATCGGCTATATAAAAATATTGAGAAAATGCAACATATGAAAGGGTATAAACATTTTGATTTTATCCCCCAAACCTTTGTTATGCCAAGCGAATACAAAGATCTTTGCTCGACTCATCATCGGACCAAGGGACCTTGGATTGTTAAGCCGGTTGCTTCAAGTCGCGGGAGAGGTATTTATATTGTTGAAACGCCGAATCAAGTACCATTAGAAGAACCCGTCGTGGTTGCAAAATATGTTGCGAAACCTCTTCTTGTCGAGGGCCATAAATGCGATTTAAGACTTTACGTTGCGGTTACTTGTTTTGATCCTTTAATAATTTATATTTATGAAGAAGGAATGGTTCGATTTGCTACTGTTAAATACGATACTAGTCATAAAACGTTATGGAATCCTTGTATGCATTTATGCAACTATAGCATCAATAAGTATCACAGTGATTATGTAAAGTATGAATTTAAGATTAGTTTGGTGATTTTGTTTGATAACATTTTTATCTTTTTTGGTTTTCTTTTAGATCTGATGATCCGAGTGCAGAGAATGTTGGTCATAAATGGACTTTAAGTGCTTTGTTAAGGCATTTAAAGGCTATGGGTAATGATACAGCTAATTTAATGTCTCAGATTGAAGATTTAGTTGTAAAATCGATTTTATCGTCTGGAAATTCAATAGTTACAGCATGTAAAATGTTTGTTCCAAGCATTAATAACTGTTTTGGTAATTATATTAGTTGTTTAAGTTAGAGTCTGCAAATGACTTTCTGCACACTTAAATTGTATTAATTTTTTCCTGAAACTGTAAAACTGGCTTCCAAATCCGGAAATATATCAAATGTTCAACATAGCAGCTTCAGGGAAAAGAATATTTTTTTTATTTTGAGTTTCATAATCTTTTTCTTTTTGAAAGAACTTTATGGTTTTGATATACTGGTGGATGATACTTTAAAGCCTTGGCTTCTTGAAATAAATCTATCACCATCGTTAGGATGTGATAGTCCGCTTGACGTCAGATTGAAATCGGCAATGCTGGCCGATTTGCTAACTCTTATTGGTATTCCGGCCATCGATCCTATGCTTCGTATGAGCGTAACAACACTTTCATCAAAAAACTCGAGAACTAATAATAGTTTAAGAATGAAACTTAATGCGGTAAGTCTTAAAGGATGTTGTCTTTTATTGTAACAATAATCTCGTGTAAAACGATAATGTGAAATAACTAACTTTATAAATTAAAATTTCTTTTGTAATTTAGTACCACAGAGTGCACTCTGCTGATGGACTAAGTAATACGTTGCCAAAAAAAAATTCGTCTCCATCCCAACATGGACGACTAACAACCAGCACGTTAAATTTATCACAGGAAGAACAGCGTATTATAAAAATGGCTAAGGCTCAATTTGATCGTAGGGGTGGTTTCGTTCGTATTTTTCCTACAGTTGATAGTTGGAGCAAATATGGCCAATATTTAGGTGATTCATTTAAAACAGAATTATTAATGATGTTTCGTATGAATTCCAATATTTGTAAATTTTAGATCCGATAACAGGAGTACCAATGGCTTGTAGCATCACCAGTAATTACAATATTCAAATACCACATAATATGAATTTATTACTTTTTAATCACTTATTTCCTGAAATGGCTAGCAGTACATTAAAATTAGATCGAGGACATTTAAAAAGTTTGGATAAAACACGAGATTTGTCTTTGGATAGTAAAGGTATCCAAATGCTTTAAAAATTTTTGATTTTTGAATTATATTTTTCTACTTGTATTTATAATTTTAGGTTTAATTGCCCTTCAACGACAAGACCGCTATGAACGGAAACTAACTCAAGGGCATAAAACGCTTCTTCCGCCGCATAAACCATTACACGAGTCGGAATCAGCCGAATTGAAGAAACAAATCTGTGATATGGTGAAAAATGGACAAAAATTAACGTAAAGTGAACCAAAAAATACACCTCCTACGGTATTTGTTGAGCCAAGCTTGACATTAACTGCGTTTATATTAACCGCTAAACTAGTATCAAGTTGTAGCTTAAAAAAGCTAATATTTAAATTTTAACTCAACAAATATTGTACTGAACTGTGTATACCTAATTTTTGTATTTAATGTAATACTTTATAGCCCCATAGAAATCAGAAAAGCATTTAGTCAGTATCTTAATTGCATTTTAAAGAGAATTGCAAATTCACCAACAGAAGAAGGGCATGTTGAAATTGTTTTAAAATTTTTACAGCGAGCATCAAATTATTTAAAATCACCATTTGCTATTAAGGTATGTTACTATTGATAAATTTATAAAGGCCCTGCACAACAAAATCATTTAATTATACATCAAACATCAATAAAATTAGATATGATTAATATTAGCTTTGTTCCAACAAGTGGTCCGACTCGTCCGTTACTTGTCAAATGTAATCGTACATGTCAAGTAATGTCGTCACATTTTAACGGATTTTATTGCAATATTTAGCTGTGTGAGTACATTTGACGAGTCCACAACGAGTCAAACCGATTGTTGGAACAAAGCTATTATATTTATCTAGATATGGTGGTCTGTCTTCAAATGGTGATGTTTAAAATAATGACTAGGTCTAATATTAGTTCTAATAATAGTGCTTAGAATGTTTTTAGTTCCCGGCCTAGTGTTTTAATTGCAGGTTTAACGTCACTATTTGAGTCATTACGTGTCAGGATTTATAGATTGTTTTTAATTTTTCCATAATCTTATTGGGGGAAATTGTTTCACTTAGGGCCGGTTGTACCACCTCCCGATAAGTTTATTCCATAGATAAATTGGCGCACTTAGCCAATGAGAGCGTTTAAAACCGCTGTAACCATGGTAATTATCCGCTAGATAGTTTATCGGGAGGTGGTACAACCGGCCCTAAATAACTTAAATATTTTTACTTTTATAAAATATTTTTAGCCTCCAAGTCAAAAGTTGTCAATGAAAGATAGAACAGCTATTGTGGCCAAACAACTCAATGATTTTATCTATTTGTATAATAGAGAAACTGAGCTTTTTTGCCATTTAACTAAACATTCTGAAGTACCAAGAATCATCGCTTTCACTAATTACCTGGAAACAGCTAGGTGAGTAGTATACTCAAAATGCATGCTGTTTTAAATTCTCAACCCCTCTGAAGTTTGTCAATGTAACAATCAAAACTCCTATTAAAATCTTAAATTTAACGTAATTTATTGTTTAACTTGTCATTTTTTATTAATATTTCATAATTTATAGGGAGAGCGACTTAGAAGAACTTTTACATTTACATACTGTGCCAATAAACGGGAATCAAAGGTCACCAAACTTCCAAAGTCTCCTAAAATGTTTACCAAACCTAAGCGGATCATGTTTGTTATCGCCTATTAATAGATCAAATCGAAATAGCATAAAAGTATCTCAATTATCATGATTCGTTTCAAAAAAGAATGAGACTTTTAGATTTTTATTATAAAATGTTACCAACTTTCTTAGGAGTATTTACATAAGTTATTTATCACGTTTATATTTTTCTTTTATTTATTATCTTTTGTAGCTATATAGGCAGCACTTCTTAGTTAATTATTTATTTGCTTCATCCTACAAATTTTTTTGTTGTTATTTATTTTTTATTATTTCTCGTTACACTCGCACATTTCAGTTGTAGTCCAATTCAGTCGTAAAATGGAAAGGAACGAAATTTTCATCCAGGCTGTGAGTCGCGTATATGAAATTTCACTACAAATAACCTTTTTGTCCACTAACAATTCTGCACTTGAGAGTGCATGTTTTTCTGCTAGTCCAATGATTTTTTAAAAATTATTGCATTTTTGTTATTTGCGCTGTTTTTTTAAGGTGGGTCGAGAAACTTAATTTTTATTGTAAAATATTTTTGAAATGTATTTTTTTGTGATTTTTATATTATTATTTATTTTTTCAAAGGATATTGTTTTATATTTGTTTTTTTTTATTATTTTTGTATTCTTATGGTCTATTTGAAAATTAGGAAAACAATTTAAAATATTTTATCAGAATAACATTGAACATTGATGCAATAATCACACATCACGAGATTGTGTCACACCTAACAAAAATATATAATCAGCTAAGACACAGAATAAAAAATATATATTTAGAAATCAAGAGGGTGATAATGATTCATGATTAAAAATTGCGTTTAACTATGGTTCATTCCCCTCTTATAAATTTAGAAAAACGTTTATGAAGTTAGCAATAAAATCAGGGGGAATAAGATTTGCAATGGTGGACTGTATGCTTCATTTTATGTTAATACTTATCCCGAGAACCAAATTCATTGGCTGGCTTTTTATTTTGTCTAACAGAGCAATTTTGTTTGAAAAACTTTTCTCGGCACTTTACTTCGTCAATCTTATCTTTTCTGATTTCATAGTCATCTCCGACGTAAGACTTTAGACGAATGATATCACTACATATGGTACCATGTTTGATAAATTACAATCAGTTTCTATTGTACGAGACGAGACGAGCGGCGCTATATTGACGCGACTCGAAAAAAACAAATCAATTCATAGAATATTGTTGGTCCTGATTAAGCGATTATAATATACATTTATATATAGTTTGGATTCCTTTCTTTGAAATTTGTTCCAAATGAGCGGATACCCAATTAACAGATCTCCCAATTAAGCGGAATCTACTGTATTTTACTTTAATCTTTAAATTCCCTGATTATGTCCTTAATAGCTACTGTGATCTAATTTTTAAATTTATTGACTTAAATATATGGGAAAAGTTTTTTAAAGCAAAGTTACATTTAGCTTCTGTTCTCCTAGTTTTTAAATCGACTATAGACGTTATTGCAAATGTCAGGTAAGAACCCAAACTTTAAAAAAATCTTAAGTAGATATATTAACTAAATAGAGATATTTTTTTTGCATTTTGAATCAATAATCTGTTTGGAATTATTGATTTATTTAAGTATTAAAAATGTTTGGAAAACTTATATTTAGTGATATTTTAATGCAAGAGTTCCTTCTCGCACGAGCATTAACAAAAAAGTCTTCTTTGTACAAACACTAACTTAACATTTTTATACAATTTCTTTAGTGAATAAAGCTAAATTTTAGTAGTATACAGAAAATTCGCAGGCCTATAAAGGAATTTTTGCAGAAACGAAATGCCAACGTTTAAGCTTACTTAGACAAATATATTTTTCATAATGCGGGTATATGAAATTTAGTACTTAGCAGTAGTCTATTTTTTCGAAAATGTAGTAAGAAAGGGAGATCGTCCTGAGCACACAATTATTGTGATAAACATAGATGGGAGCGGTTCTATTTTCGAACACTATATTTGTATGGAAACACATTACTCTTATTAAAGTATGTAGTTAGAGATAATTCAAAAATGTTCTTTAAATTTAAAATACAATACAAAAAAAGCAATCATTGAGCTTCTTGTGAACGCTCTTATTCGTGTTCGATTAATTCTACTTTGAACTTTGTGCACAATTAAAAAAAATATGTTGATTGATTGTATTTAACGTGTTTTGTAAATTACTAACGTTTCATCGAATAAATTTCTGAATTATATGTAATTTTTTTTTGGATATAATTGTTTGAACCTTATCTTAATATAATTCCAGTCTAATAGGTGTTAAAAAGATTTGTATTAATTTAGCGTGAAACGTCATTTTATGGACGTCGACATAAATATACAGTTTAAATTTGTTGATTGTCCGTTTTGTTCTATTTACGTTGAACATTACGTGATTTTAAAGCCGTTTTAATGCCTTTTGCGTTGCCAATAAACGTGTATTTGTTGAAAATTAAATTGGAAAGTTAGCACGTCGTTATGCTGGTTACTAGTTTCGATATTTGTTTTTAATGTTTTTTTATTAATAGCTTAGATATTTTTCAAAGAAAATGGAATGACTTAATATTATCTGCATTTTTATTTATTTACGAGTGGAACCAAAATTGAAAAGCGATGTTTAAGTACACACTGCTGATGTAGTGATCCTTTGTGGGAAATAAAGATTTTATTTTAGGTCTCTAGTATGCATGGTACCGCTGGTATTAAATTATTAATTTGAAAATCGTATCAGAGAACGGGACGTAAGTACTGAGAGCCTAACGTGTTGTTTGGCGAGACTTTTAGGCTGAATACTGAATATCCCTAAGAGTAATAATACACTAGTTAGCTGGTGGACTATCGTGACTTTCTATTTGCAAGATTCTTGAAAATGTAACACATTAGTTATTTCCAAGCGATATTACAAATATCTAGGCATAAACATCGACAAGAAAATATCTTTGGTATTACATCCGAGCAACTCCATAAAGCAGGAATTATTAAGGAAGCCCTCTGAGAACAGTGTAGAATCCATGGAGGATAAGCAAAACTATTAGAAGCGAGCTAGCAAATACAAAATCAAAACTTGTCTGATAATTTTTCCTTACAGATTACAGGTGTTATAGAGATTTTTTTCGTACATAAATTAGTTTAAATATTTTAAATTTCTTGGCTAACATATTTTTGTGTTGAAACACAAAGCTTTAGTAAGTTTGGTTTACTTCCAAAATGATATAGTTTTTACTAATTTAATTTAGTCACAATTGATAAAATCGAATGTATAAATTTAGATTGGATATGAAACGATACATACGGTTTTATGAACGTAATTATATTCTCATTGGAATGTTGAAAGACAAATGATTCGTAAGGTACAACAGTCTTTCATACACGCGGTAGAAAAATAAACGATCTAAATTTACGGCATACTTCATAAATGCTTCAGGAAAAGCGTTGCCGGTCGGTTTTTGGCCGCAACGGATTTTAGTTTTGACGGGGAGACGTCGTCGTCGCGACGCCAATTAATAAACGGGCGAGACAGATTGTTGCGAAACAGCGTGTCCCGAGAGTGCCGACAAGGGTGAAATTGCGTGTGTTCTATATCGATCCCTTTTCCTGCGCCCCCCGTTTCGTCATGTAGTAAACTAGTTATTCACTACCGTCCGGGCTAATTTTAAAGCGGCCTTTGTTAAAGTCAGACCTCAGAAATTTATGACAAAAAAATTCTCTGGGTGCTTCGATTTGAAACACATAATGTGGCCTTATATTTCACGTACAGTGATGTTAAATTGTTTATGAAATAAAAAGTGAATTTGTGGAATTAAAATTGTTCTTTCATTTTACGATGCAGAGGATACTTAGTTTGGAAACTAGCAGAAGTCCCAATACTAGCAGTGAATTTGTATCGAAAAGACTTTGTTTTAGTATTCTCTTTTCAATAGCATTTTTATTTTTAATAGCAGGTAAGAATATGTCGTTATTTTATTATTTTTTAAAAGATAAAAATTGTTTTTGGCAACGAAAAGAAATAATAAAAATATACAAAATAATTACATAAAAACATGTTTTGGATAAATATAGCATCTCGAAAAATTGTCTTTACCCCCCAACAAGTTAAACACATATTTGTATGTAAGGTTATAATCGAAATTCGTAAAAACGATTTCGTTATAAGTGGAGTTGAAGCTTATAATATATATTTTATGTTTATTGAACGTTTTCTGCTTTTAATTCTGTATAAAATTTGAACAAATTTCTCTCCAATTTCTAGATTTCTTTTTAGGCAGCAAAAATAAGGAGGCTATAAATTTGGTATAACATGAACAATATCAAAAGAACAGCAGACACGTCGGACTTGTGCAAATAGTAAAGTGTTGCTTTTCCTTGGGTTTAAAGAAATAAATACAAGAAATTGATTTGCAGCTTCCCCGCAGTTTAGATTTCTTCTTTCATCACCTTTTTGTGACGACCGTGTAGTGTTAGTACTATTAATAACAATAATAGTACTATGTGTTTTAACGACTGTACTCGAAATATCTGGAGCACCGCTTCAGCGTTGAGATTTGTCAATTTGTGACCGAATATTTTTGTGTATATTAACATAGCAATACATTCCGTTTTGAACTCCATCGATATTATTAAGGGAATATAACAAAATTTGGGTAAAATATTTTCTAATCAGTGATTCATATTTAAAGCGCGTAATAAAATTAAATGACCAAAACATAAGTTGTGTAAGAAATGTAGTGATTATGTCAAGAAATCGTATTAAGAATAAAGCTGTGAATGTTAGAAACAGTAGAAGATTTAAATTGGTAACCATCCACTAAAAATATAAGACGAGTTTATAAAAAAATAAGATTCAAAGTTCCTTTAGAACGTCAGCATCTTGTGTTTAAATAAAAAAATCGTAAAATCAATATTCATTGTGTTAAATGCAATATTTATAATTACTACTAAACGTGTATATATCCCTAAATACGCATACTTTCCGTACGAGATACAATTTATTTATTTTGACAAACAAACATTTTAGTTGCTTTCAACTTAAAAAAAATGTAAATGTCAAATACGTAATTGACCACAATTTTCTCCAATAATTTTCTTTCTACATACAAAGTCAAATTAAAACTTTCCAACGTCAAAGGTAAAAGATTTTAAAAATTACGTGACCTCGAAAATAACGCTGATTTTAGATTAGCACACGTAATGGATTAGGTTCATATCTACAAAATTTGTAAAAACCATTTTCGGTTCATATAAAACATTGCGTGTTTTAGTTTTTAGTTCCAAAAATAAATAATAATAGATGTTATTTTACGTCCAACTTAAAATTGAGCTGTGACTGGTACCGTAATGGAAGTAGATCCTTTATAAATTATATAAAAATATTTCCGTGATTTTTTTATATATAGGGTTATAAATCTTGATTTTGATAAGTAGACGTTAGCACGCATAAAAATTATATTAATAAATAAACCATTTAGGTTACAGTTTTGTTGGTTTTGATAAGTTGGCTGTTGGAAGTGTTAACTTGTGCCAAGATTAACTTTTGTAACAGCAGACAGGAACATTAATATGTTCATACGGGAAATTACTTCGTTAATCACTTGATGTAGTAAAATAAATTTAAAAACAAACATTAACTTGAAAATATTATAGAATGATTTACTTACATTTTTTATCCTGATTTAGAATTAAAATTTGTAGCCAAACAGAAATCATCTCCGTTTGGCAAAAGTTCAAATTGATCGTTACTTAACATTTTACGTGTATAATACACCGTTTATTAAAAATGTTTTCAAAATGATGAATTTTCGAATATTTGTTTTATTTTAATATTATACAAATATACGTGATGTATTTTTCCTTAAACTGTCATGTAATTAATTAAAGTAATTCATTAGTTATGAACAATAGCACTGCCCAACAATGGATATGTTTTTGAAATATACATATAACAATATCTGTCAGATAAATTTCACTAAAAGTTGGCAAAGTTGCCATTAGCTGTTCACAGATTTTGTGTACCTATTATCTGAAGACAGTGCTGATTGTTGTGACAAGATTAATTTGTTCTAATTTTAATTTAGGCTTGCTTTAAAGTGAACCTCTAAAAAGTAATTATTTTTGAATAAATTTTATAAGTTATTGATTGTAAATTGCAATAAAAAAATTTTACAGACTTCGATTAATCTCCTTTCAACATTCATTGGCGAATTATAAAATATTAATAATGTTATAAATAATAACAAAGATGACCTTAATAGTCCCATTTAACATTGTTATTTTGACTTGACCGATGTTACACAGTGTCAACAGATTATTTCGTTTTAAATCAAATCGTTTCGAGTTCCTTTGTTTTGAAGATATAATTTAGAACGGAAAATGTTCATTTTGGATTTTAGGGTGATGTTAGCAATAACAGTCAAGATTTGCACGTTCCACTGTTCCAATTAGCATATTTATTCGTAGTTAAAATTGTATTGAACACGCAAGCACTAGGGATATATGCAAAATAAGGTTTTATCATTACCATCAGATCGTTGCAGTAAAAATGTTCCAATGCCCGTTAAAATTTAATGACTACAAGTTTACGACTTGATGTTTTACATAATTGAATGCTACAAAATGGAGCAGTAATAATTCTTTTTGTTTTTTTTTTCAGGGTATTTGTTAGGAAGGTATACAACGGATAGAGCAATTTTATTGCGTCAAGCTTATGTTAGACAAAAACTTTTCGATGAAAAAATTGACAATTTAAAAAACATATCTGAATCTTTAAAAAAAATAAATTTAATTCATCTTCAACCAAGTCAAAATATTACATTTATTTACGAAGAATGGAACAATTGTGTGAAGAGTAAAAATGAGTTGCCTGAGATTAAAGAAGACGCTAATGTGATGATAAGTAAAGTTCTTAGAACACACTTGGAGAATTTAAGTAATTGCTATAATACGGTGGAAAACTTGTTACGAAGTATAGCAGCAAAACAAAATCAATGAGGATAGTTGTTAATTTTTAATAATTTTTAGAATCAATTATTGTGATTTTAGATTTTTTACTTATTAAATAAATAAAAATTCTTTTTTTATAAATGTCTTGTTTTTAATTCTTTGCAATAATATTTTGACTTGTAAAATTGCTCAAGGAGGTAAGAAATAGTCTTTCTCGATTGCACTTAGCTTGTTTACTAAGCAAGTGTGTTATTAATTAAATAATTTATTTTGGAGTTTTCAACGTTTTGTTATCTGCTGTTTAAAGATTTTGCGTTTTAATATGAACGCAAATATTGCAAAATTATAATCACGTATTTAAAATTTACGGTCTTTTTCAAAGACTCAATGAACACTGTTTATTTTTTAACACGACTATAGCGTTATCAATGTGTCTACTACTGTTCTGCTTTTATATAATTTAATTTTAATGTAATTAGGTTGTAAGTCATCTTTATAACATTTTAGTAATTATCATTTTCATTTCATTGGCGAGTTAATCGGTGTCTTATCTTTCGCGTAAATAAAAATATTTACACACCCAACATTTCTTGTTAAAAGCTATTTTGAGAGTCGAGGAAAGGATCGTTTAAACTGCGCGGTAATCACCTCCGAGAGTACAATAAATTGCAATTTGGTGGCCGTCAAGTGATAAAAGGAAACTCAACATTTGTTTATTAATTTTAACATATTTGCGTGAGTATAAATAAATTATCGCAAACTAAACCTAATTTCCATAATTTTATTTGTAATCAATATTATTACTTTGTTGATGGTGTGCATCGAATCGATAAATACTGATGCAACTTCAGGTAAAATTTAGTTAGTGCATAGAACCGTTTCAAAACGATATAGGTACCTGCCGTTTAATAGTTGCGAACGATTGACCAGGAATGCTATTTCGTGGTTGAATTTTGATAATTGTAACTTAACAACTTTTAAAGTACGTTAGTGCGCATAAACAAAGTGACTAATAAGTAAAAACTTATATAAACGAATACATATTTTAAAATAGTTCAATTATAATTTTGTAATCGAGTACACTTGTTTATATTTACTCATTTATTGCAACATTTCAATTTGAATATAATCAAGTTCAATATGCCTTCTTGTGTTGAAGAAATAAGAAAAGTCTTGGTATTATACACTGGGGGAACAATCGGAATGGTTAAAAATGATGATGGTGGTAAGCTTTTAAATTTATTTAGTTTATAAAATAGTTTCGCTTAAAACAATTAATCTATTAACAATTAGTCTATATTAAATTTATGTGTAGTTATTTTTTAAATTAATGCATATTGAAGGGTAAGTCTAATGTTTACAACAATAACTTTGAAGAAACGATTATGTTCGAGTTGTTCTTTCAATAATACAATTGTTCATATCAAAATTGTATGTCTCCCATGTCGCTTGTGATAACTGATCTTGATATGCTGAACTAATGGAAGCATTGGATTCAAGCCGATCAGTGCAATTGTCTTTCTTACTTACGATTTGCATGAATGATATTTACGAGACCATTTAATGTTCTTCGTATTAAGAAAAAACTTGGAACTAATTGTAAGATAAAAACATTTTTTTCTTTTAAGCGGTTGGAAATTAATTAATAAGATCTATTGAGGTTACAAAAGAATGTTTGAGGTTTGATTAAATCTTCTTCGTGTCTCTTCACTCCTCGATTTACCTCAATCGTGAATTTACAATATGAATTTAATAAACTTTATGTTATTTAATAAATGTCGATAAAGATTAAGGATAACAACATTCTTCTCAATTATATGGTTGCATGAGGTTATGTCTCAGGTTTTGTTTATTACAGTATTCTCAAATAGTACACAAATGTTAATAATAATTTCTTTTTAAAATCTTTTAAGAAATCGATAACAGTTGTGCCTATCTATAATTCGGGAAAACCCTATAATTAAAAAAAACGACCCAAAATAGAAACGATAACATTATAACGTTTATATATATCTAGATGACTTTGTACTTGAGATCAGACTTAAAGTCGCAGAATAGGAACGATAACATTGTATTATTTGTACATAGATGACTTTGTACTTAAGACAAGACATTCAAGATCACATTTTCAACATTTATTATCTTTTTAAGCTATTATTATGAAATGTGACGTCTAATTTCCGAATTAACAAGAAAGAATTTCAGACACAAATAAACTGAATGTTACTGATTTTTGTTGTTGTTATAGTTTACATTCCAGCATCGAATAGATTTATCCAGAAAATTAAATCATATCCAGAACTTCATAATGAACAAGTTTTATCGAAGTATATTGAAGGAATACCTGAAGAAGATTATCTTATTATGCCGTAAGTTTGTAAAATTATACACGATGATGATAGTTGCATAAATAAAATTAGTTTACTAAAGTATTCATTAAGAATTCTCCTGCATAATATTATTTTTTATAAGGATAATTTCACAGGGAAATAACACATTCCTCATTGATTAATTATGTTCAAACATGATTTAATGGTGATTTAATCAATGTTTAAACATAATTAATCAATGAGGAATGTGTTATTTCCCTGTGAAATTATTCTTATTTCTTATAACAATAAACAAATCTTCGTAAATAAAATCATATACATAATATTTTAGACAAATCCATAACAGAAACACTATTTTATACACCATAAAGGAATATAATCCATTATTAGATTCTAGCAATATGTCTGTAGATGATTGGGTAAGAATTGTCAAAGATATCGAGGTGTGTAAAAAAGTATAACACATTTTTTTCGTAATTAATTCGACCATTATTCTGTAGAGTTTTTATGATTATTATGATGGATTTGTTATATTACATGGTACTGATACTTTAGCTTACACCGCATCAGCTTTATCTTTTATGTTAGAAGATTTACAAAAAGCTGTTATTGTAACTGGATCTCAGGTAGGAATATTTTTATGGCCCACCAAAACGGTGTAATAAATATGAATTTGTAAAAATAATTTCATTTTAGATACCAATTTTTGAAGTAAGAAGCGACGCGAAAGATAACTTCTTGTCTTCATTGATTTTCGCAGGATGTTACAAAATCCCGGAAGTTTGCGTTTGTTTTGCAAATCAGCTTTTACGAGGAAATCGTACGGTTAAATTTAGTTCCTGCAACTTAGAAGCGTTTAATTCACCCAATTACGGTCCTCTTGGTATTGTTGGAATTAATTTTGAAGGTATTTTTTTAATAAAAATGTTAATTTTCTAATATGTACCTACTTTTGTTTGATAACAGTGTATCCTAACAATATTGCGAAAATTAATAATACAAAAACTTTGAAAGTATATACAGAAATGAGTAAAAACGTTGCGATGATTCAATTATTTCCTACAATTTCTGCAGATATGGTAATAAAATTTAAAACATTTTTTTAAATAATAATTAATTTGAAATTGTTAGTTAATAGCTTTTTTGAAACCACCAACTATGGGTGTAATTATTGAAAGTTACGGAATAGGAAACATACCATCGAAAAGGGCCGATTTACTAGACGTATTGGTTCAAGCAATAAAACGTGATGTTATCGTTGTTAATATTACTCAATGCTGCCAAGGAACTGTAGATTCGACGTACGAAACTGGAAAAATTCTTGAACAATTAGGAATTATACCCGGACACGATATGACTGTGGAAGCGGCTTTATCTAAATTGTCATACGTTTTAGGTTTATCACTTTCGTTAACTGCGAAAAAACAAGTAAGTCTTTTTTTTACTTTTAATATGTAGTTTATGGAAAATTATTATTTCGCTTATTTTTAGCTTATGAAAACAAATTTACGAGGAGAATTAACACAACATTAAGTAAATAAAATACTGAGTGTTTCAAAACTACTGTGCCAAATAAAACATTTTATTTTCGCTTCTGACATTTTTAACGATTTCAATTTCTATATAAACATATGAGACAACATAGATAATTTTTGATTTGACTTGTGTTTTTCTAATTTGACTGCTTTTAACACATTCATATTTAGAGATTTAAAGGTCATTAAAAATTATGATTTTAAAACATGATGCGATTTAATGTTGTAGTTGGTGCAATATTTTGGAAACGTCCGACATAGTAATGATATTCAGTTTTTAGTATTTTAATTTAATAAGTCAAACAATATACCTAACGTTGTAAATATGAAATGATAGATAATAATATTAAAAATAACGAGAAATAAAATGAGTATCACTATAAAATAGTTATATTTTTAAAGATATTTTTAAGTATAAATGCAGATAAATTAATGAACGAACAATTCTTTATAATTGAATAATAGTTGGCCAATTCAATTGAAAAAACAATGTTTCCAGATTTTCTCTAAGAAAATTTAACATGTTCTTTTCAATTCTTATTAATAGTTATTAATACTTCCTTTAATGTAATTTATTACAGATAATAAAGACTCTTTTTACTCATAAAATTGTAAAATTTTTCAATTTTCCGATTTTACATACAAAACGGAATTTCCAAACATAAAAAATATATGTATAACTTATTGTTAGACTAGATTTAGACGAAGAATGCAACAAGGAAAAAGTAGAGTTGAATTAACAAGAGTGAAACAGTAACATAGTATATTATTGCTAAATTGATCGCTGAGTATACAAAGAATGATTTTTTCATAGTTATTTTAAGAAATATACATGTCGATAGCGATAATAAATGCTACCTTATTCAGGGAGTTATTATGTTTGTTGCTCTTATTTTCGTTTATTTTTATAAACTTTTCCCTTCTCTTTTCGCATTATACACGTGCAAGGCTGTTTTATTAGAGATTACAGAAAAGTAAGGATTTATTAGATTTTATTTTGGTATGATCATATAATTTGATATATTCAAAAAATACATTAAGTAAAACATATAAAAATAATTTCTCTTAATTGATATGTGTAAAAATTCCAGATTAATTTTTTCCATTTTCAGTAATATATTGCATCATATCAACAGATCTTACAAAACCTTCAACAACGTCTACTCCTTCAACACCTAAAATCACAACAATAATTAAAATAATAAACAAAAATTAGAGCGTCATAAAATTTTACTTTTAACAACAATCACATAAGGTTCAACTTCCAAAATCCTTGACATCATCCCCAATGACGTATCAGGAGAGACCTTAAATACCTTCTTTTCCATAGCTAATTTGACGGGATCGCTTAATTTAATTTTTCCAGCAACGAATGCATTCATAATCGTTGTAATTGTAGCTACGCCAACAACTGATTTCTTGTCCATAATGGTTATATGTTCTAATACTTTCTCTTTTAAAGTACTTAAAGTTTTGGCACAACTGGTATCAGCACTGATTGTTAATGGTGTTTTTAAATCTAATTTTGAAAGTTTTTCATTCCACCACCAATGGTTTTGAGTGTTAATTAATGGTTTGAGGTTGCGAACTTCCATCCATTGGTCGGATGCGAATTTTGTCATGTAATTTCTGATTCCATCGGGTAAAAGAACAACGCAACGTTGACCCTCCTTTAAGTTTTTAGCTGCTTTTACTGCTATTGCCATTGCAGCACCACTACTTCCGCCTTAATAAAATAATTTGTTTTTAAACTATATGAGGAAAGGAATAAAAGTAAATAAAAAAATATTTACCACAAAGTAGCCCTTCATCTTTAATTAATCTTCTTGCCATAGGTAAAGCCATAGAATCATTAACTTTCATCCATTTATCAACGATGGATCTATCCAAAACCGTTGGAATGAAATCGTAACCAATTCCTTCTAGTTCGTAGTAAGTGACATCAGATTTATTTAAAGATTCAGGTTGCGCTAAAATAGATCCTTCTGGATCAATAGCAACCAGCTTACAATTCGGCATTAATTCCTTAATTTTTCTTCCCAATCCAGTTACAGTCCCTCCAGTTCCAGCTCCAGCAACGACCATATCAACGTTTCCACCGGTTTGTTCATAAATTTCCATTGCTGTACCATCATAATGAGCTAAAGGATTTCCAGGATTTCTATACTGATCCAAAATGATTGAATTTGGTATTTCCTTCATCAATTTTTGAGCTACGCATATTAAGCCTTCCGGATCATCGAAAGCAGCTGCTGTTGGCGTTCTTACGATTTCAGCGCCCAATGCTCTAAGAGCGCATACTTTTTCATTTGACATTTTTTCTGGCATGACGATAATGCATCTGTAACCTTTAAAAAAATAGTGTTAAGGAGCTTTGACGATAATATGCTAGTATATACCTTTTACTGCAGCAGCCATAGCTAAACCAATTCCGGTATTACCGGAAGTTGGCTCAATTATTGTGCTTCCCGGCTTTAATTTGCCATCTTTTTCAGCGTCAATAACCATCCGATAACCGATTCTGTCTTTTACGGACCCACCAGGATTGAAAAATTCGCATTTTACCACTGTCAAAAGAATTAATTACAATAATAAAAAATACCATTGTCAGAAACATGTTCAAAGCCATTTCGAACGTGTTTCTGGAGAAGGTTGCAACATGACAAAAATAACATCGAGTGTAAAACATTCATGCGCTACTAGATTAAAATGTTAGGTTGCTTTTAGATGGGGAAAGAAATGAATTTTTAAGAAAAACAAAATACTATCGTAAAAAGAATGTTTTTAGGATCTCAATAATAAAAAAAAAATTTGGCATTCCATTTAAAAAAAAAAGAAAAAAGCCCCAATTTGAAAAAAATCCGCCAAATGAAAAAAAGAAAACAACAACCGGGAAAAAAAGGCCCAAAAAAAAATAACGCCAAAAAATTTGAAAAGAAGAACCAAAAGGGGGCCAAAAAAAAATAAAGTGCTTACTCTGAATCAGGCTGATATGACGTAAAGTTTACCACAAATGTTTAACATATAATTTAGTTAATAACAGTATGTATAATAAGGTTAATAACAAAATAGGTAATAGTGTATAATTAACATTCTGAGTGAAGTTAAAATTATAACAAGTCCTTCAAAAATTTAAGTGAATTACTACCTTTGTGTTATTTAAATAGAGCTCTTCCTATACTAGTCTTAATATGGTTTAATCTATTTCTCTATTAATATAAATAAAATTACAAAAAGAAATCAATAAAATATCTAACAACGTTTTTGGAAAACTTAAAGATGAAATTTTATATGTATAAAACCGCTAGAGATAAACTTGATAACCTTTTCGATTAAATGAAATACACGAATTGAAAATATGTGTCGACGAAATGTTTTAGTTAATTCCATTTCGTCTGGTTTTTTGATAAAAACGATTTATTCGTATCATCTTATGTTCGGGTCATACGATACGCGTTGTTAAAAAAAATCAAATGTGTGAAGAGCATAAAAAATTAATCATGAAAAAAATACTAATGATCTAATTAATATTTGCAGTCTTTCAAAATGTAGAAGCAAAGTCCTATTTATTTGTTTGTAGCAGACGAAATGTTTTTACTATTCAATGATAAGGTTCAATTATTACATTTTAATGACTGTATTGATATGACCCCTTGTTAGTTGTTTTTTAATTTTTTATTCCCACTGCGTATTTTATTGTTATAAGAAAATGGTTTCGTTATTTTAATGAAATAATCTTGGTTGTTATTTTATAATTATCCATCCAATTAAAATTTAACTTTTTTTTATATGTACCTATCAAAATGAATTTAATTTCTTTTAGTTCGTGACTTTATTTCATATGATTCGTCATTTTTTTATCTGATGATTGGTAAATTTTCTTAGCTAATGTAGCATGTAGCAAGGTTGTTACTAAATATTCTTAAATTTTTATGATGCAATAATTTCTAATTCTTACAACATTTCTATAAAAATTATGATAACAATGTGTTAACAAAAAACTTTTTTTTGTTTTACTGTTTCAAATCAGGAATATTTAAAATGTCAACTAAATTTAAAAATAAAACTTCAAAATTAACGAACTGACTCAAAAACTGCTGCATATGTGGTAATATTTCAGGGCGACTTAGAAATTAACTTATATGTGTCAAAATTATGAAGATTATTATAAATTTTAAAGAAATTAAATTTTTTTTAGTTTTATAGTAACTTTTATAGAAACTTGACTTACAAACTTCACATTTAAGTCCTTCTTGTTGAGGAATCCTATTTAATCTCACCATGGGGGTATTTCCAACATGATGTAAAATATTAGGAAGAATTTTTTTTGGTGGTTCCCTAAAAATTAAATAAATTTTTTTTATATATAAATATATATTTTATTTCAACTCACAATTTTTCTATTGTATGAGGGGTAGATGTAGGTTCGGCATCTTTACTCCATGTACATTTAGATGGTTTATCCGGTCTGATAAAATCGGCCATAGACCACGTTAAAGAAGACATATTCAGCTTGGTTTCTTTACTTTTCAAATATTAAAGATATCTAAAACCGCGCTTGAGATGTCGATACACAACTGCCGAAGCGAACTTTCCAGCGGTTCGTTTATGTACAAGTCGAGAACGTGTCCGTATGACGTAGTGGTTCAAGCAATCGATGACGTTGGACGACGTCTTTGCATTACGCTCACTATCGATCTGGTCCACTAGTGACCAGTTTAAATCGGACTAGCGAGTAAAAAAGACTACGAAGACCATTCTAGATTCCCTTTTAAATGGTATATACATATATAATATACCAGAAAGAAATACCACGTGGAGAATTTGATAACACGACATAATTTGATTTTTTTTTGATAATGTTGCTAAATTAATGAAGGATTAAGTTATCAAGGAAATAACACTTTATCACTTTTTTCCCTTATTTTCATACGAAGTTATTAATTATTAATTAATACTCAATAATTATATTCAAACTATCTTTATTAATTACAAAAAAAAATAGCAGAAACTTATTAATAAAATAAAAAAACCTTGTACAAACTCCACTGTAAAATTTCAAAAATTACTTTTTATAAGAAGTGCATAAGGGTCTTCACAGCCATAAAACCAGTGATAAAATAACCGGTAGCCCAAGCTAATGCTCTTGAGGGTTGTGGAACCACAACAACTGCATAAACCAATGTATGGACGAATCTAGCAATGGTAAACACTCTGAAGAGCATCAAAGCGGTTCCAACTGCTGGGTTGGTTAACATGTAACCAAATCCAGCTACGAAGAAGATTGGGATGTTTTCTAAATCATTCAAATGAGCCCTCCTTACTCTTTCTACATTTTCATCTGTTTTTGGTTTGAGTTTCCTTGGTTCAGCGTCTTCTGGATTAGCGAAAGCCTAAAAAATCAAAAAAATCAATTATATAAACCCATTTAAATTAGATTTAGAAAGAAAAAAAATGACATCAATATATTTATGTATACCTTACGCTTAAAACGTTGTGTAGCTGTTAACACAGCCATTGCAAGAACTTTTAGTACTAAAAGTGCGGAATAGAAAATGTATCCCTTAAAAATGGGATTGGTTAAATTTAAAATTTCTAAAACCCCTCCTTCATTCATGGTTTATTATTTTATTTTGTTCGTTTGGATTGCAATGAAACCGGTGACCAACTGACCAAACATAATCGACTCATACTTAAGTGTTTACTTGTGTTTGTATACGCTTGCGCAGTACAGTTATATATCGTGACTCGCTGTTTTGAAAAGTGAAGATAACAGTAAATTATTGATGATCATTGTATTATGCAATAACTAAGGTAAAATAATACGACGATTTTAATCGAAAGAAATTATTCAGGTCAAAGAAATTGATAGTTACAAGGAACATTAAGATAATTTTTGTTTTAGATTATCATGTTTATCACAAAAAATAGTTGAATTTTAATTTCGAAATGAGGCGAGTCAAAACTTATTGATAAGATTAAAAGAAAAATATGTAATCATCGTGAATAAACGATGTTTTCCAATTTTATTTATACATATACTACCTTATTCCTAAATCTTTGTCGACCAGTAAGAGGTGCCATTATCATAGTTTTAAGAACCAAGACGGATGAATAAAAAACGTAACCTCTAAAAACAGGGCTATCCAAATTTATAATTTCCAAAATTGAATTAACCATTTTTTCGTTTCGTTTTTCCAACACAATCACACTACAATTACAAAAAAAGAATTTATGTCACAAAATATCTTTATTTGTACTACGGCGTTTTTTTTAAACAACCTTATCTCATTTCATAAATACAAATTACAGTATAAAAAAGGGGAACCGTTTACGCCTTTATATAAACACCAATAGAAAATGGCAACGGAATAAAGTCCAAGGTTGTGTTTTTAATGGATCGTTTACAGAAAGCTTTCTGGGTTGCGCGTGTTTTAACAACGTTGAATTTTTTTTTAATTTTCGTGTAGTCTGTATCTAGATTCAAAGAGTTTCAGTACATCTTAGAAAATACTAAGAAATATGCATAATCCCACAAATTTTTAAAAATATAACTAAACACTATCAAGCATGGAGAATAATTTTTGAATAAACATAAAAATTTGTTTCATTGGTGTGATAAAGAAAACATATTAGAAATTGGAGGTGGAAATGGTGTTATAACAAACACGGTGGTTCATCCTTTCGTTGAAAAATATTTAAATCAGTTAATAGGAAGTGATTAATGTCAAGAAGCTGTTGATGTAGCCAAAAAGAATTATAATAAAATAAATTAATCGTTTGTTCAAATGGATGTTACTGATCCTGAGGTTGGGATAGAATATTTTGTAAAGTTTTAACACATTTTTGCATTTTATTGCTAACAATTAGCTAAACCGTCGGAAGGGTAAGTTTATTTGAACATTAGAACGTTGGAGAGAAATGTAGGTTATAGAGATAAATTTTGTTATTAAAATTTTCAAAGTTGATATCTTTTGAAGTGTTATGTAATCATAATTGCTGTACATTTCCATAGCGCTCAATATGTTGAATATTCGTTAAAGTTTACGAGTATAATTATATAGAGTAGGTAGTAATTCTTATTAAAATTATTATCCTGGAGTTTCAAGAGTTCAAAATATACCTACAAAATATTTTAAAGTTAAATATTATAATTAACGAATTCTCTAAAGAAATATTTAGTTTCGCGTTTACCATTAACAAGTAAGTGTTATTAAACAATAAAAAACATATTTTTTAATATCACCGTTCCATTCATTGCAACTTAAACATTGTATAACTTTAGAATATTTTTTAGTTGGGCTAAAAATGTGTATCATATGCTAACACAAAATGGTGATGTATTTGCCACGTTAAATATAATTCCAAATTGTTTTACAAAAGCAATAGACGATCAAAAAATGGAAAAATCAACACCTTGGAAAAAGTATATCGAAAATTGTCCGGATTTATTCGTTGATTACGGTCCTAATCATGTTGAAAGTATTACTAAAATATTAGAAAACGCCGGTTTTACAATCAAAATGATTGAAATCGATACGGTTGATGTTATCTTTACAGATGATGAAATTATTCTAGGTGAATCACTTTTATGATTAAAACGTTTTGTGTGCTAATAATTTTTAGTGACAGGTATGTTGTACGCCCGCATGGCGCTCACCATTCGGTATTACGGCAAACACGTTACGCCGAGCGCAACATTTCTTGCAGAAACATCAAGATTCATTTAAATGGAACGAAAACAAAAATGTTCTCGAAGTTGTATGTGATAATGGATTTATTACAACTCAAGATTTCTTTTTTGAAGAGAAAGTGGCAGAAAAGTTCGAGGGTTGGGTTCGCGGGTTGGGTTGGGTTGCGGTTGGGTTGGGTTGCGGTAGGGTTGGGTTGCGGTAGGGTTGGGTTG